TCCCGTCCCGTCCCGTTCAGCCGCATGCCGAGTAAAAACTTGGAGAAAGGCGCATCAGATTTTTGTGGGTAGCATGTATCACAGCATCCCACTGTTCATGTAGCGGCAGAATGCGCTGAATCAAAACCGCAGCCACGATCTCAATTCAGATGTTTGAAGAAAAAAAAAAAAAAAAAAAAAAAGGAGTTCCCTTGCACAGCATTATTAAAACTTTAGCCTCTATACCTCAACGGAATATTTGATCAATTTTATTGGAGGACTTGGATTTTTCGACTGCGTTGGTGTGTTAACAAATGGTCAACGAGAATTGGCTGTCAGGAGTTACTGCTACTTCAGGATTGCTACTCCGGCTTAATTTTCTATTTAGGCAACTTAAAACTCCTTCTGAATTAGCCAGAGCTAATCCTTGGTTTAGCAGTTGGCAAGTTCCTTTACTAAATCAGCGGATTAAGTGCTGGACATTGAGAATGCTCTTGCGGATAGCTAGATAAAAATGCAAAATTTTTTTTCTTTATTTGGCATAGTTACTTTAAAAATTCATCTGTACTTATTTTTATCCCAACCATTAAGGACTGAGAGGGAAATTATAAATATTTGTCAGCAGCCTGTTGCACAGGAATCAAAACTACAATAACAAACTGCTGCATGTTTGGCAGGCTCAGAACAAAGAGGCAGCTGTCTGGATTCCTGGGTCCTGCTCCTAACGCTGTCATTTTAACATCACCAATAAGTCCTGTGAAGCTCAGGAAAAGTTTTGAAAGCGTTTTAAGGTTGAGATCTGTAAAAGGTTTTAAGTTCAAGCGAGGGATAATGCAATTCTCGTGAAAGACACAGGTTTTTAATTCAAGAGTGTGAGTATGTTTATTGAGAACAGGTTGACATACAGATTTTTGTTTAAAATAGCTGACACATTTTCTCTTTTCTAACTGCTATAAAGAACGCATCATGAAATTAAGACACCTATTATTGTGTAGGCTTCCTGTTACTAAATGAAGCCTGATGTATCTGACTGACATAATGTACTGATGCAGTGCTGGGTTTGACATGACTCTTTGGAGGAGTGGAACAAAAGTGCTCCTGAGGAATGTCGATTAACATGGGCCTTTGACATCTTGAAGTCTTTCAGTGCTTTTGAAGCAAGACTTCAAAGCGACGTGTCGGATTCCTCTGTATCTAATGATAGTGTTGACATGTAACTGTGTTCCGCAAGTACTGGAATCCAGATGCTGTTCTAGCTTTTATCTTGTTTCTAGCAAAGGAACCGATCCACCAACCCCAACAGAATGCCCTCCAACAAGTACTTGAAATGGCAATACCCGCACTTGGCCAAACAGAACAGGGGTCACCTTTATTCTGTGCGCTAATTCAAGTGATGCTGCTCCTGATACACGCTAATGGGTATTGAGGTAAAACTTCTCTTGTGTTAGCCCCTCTGCAGCGTGCATTTGCTTTCAAGTTTGAATCCAGGTACTGACAGGAGCTCCCCAGAGAGTATAAATCCTACTGGTCCAGCAATACTGCACCTCTCTGTAGGCACCTCCTTGCTTGCACCAATGCAGAGAATCCTTAAGAGCAGTACCATAATAGTCCCGACTCCATAATTTCCTTACGGTGTAGAGTGTGGGGAGTGGAGTTAAAATGAATGACAGCTTGCCTACCTGTAAAAAGTCCCAGCACGTTTGAAGAAGTCTCTTTCTCTTCCGTATGTTCCTGCACCTGTGTAAAGATCAACAAGGTTGCTGTCTGCTTTCTGGATCACTGTCGTAACTGCATTCAGAAATGGAATCGAGATTCCTTTTTTTTTCCCCCTCATTATATCTACTGGGAGGCTGTTTGTGAATTTTCTTCCTCCTGTAGCTAGAAACAAGTGTTGTTTTCCAGCCTAAATTAATTTATGGTCCATTTATATCCATTTTTGCCAATCTTACTTCTTAACTAGAATAGGTTTCTTCTAACCCGTTCTGACATGTTTTTCATAGGTGAGCCCTACCGGCCTGTTTTCCTAGCCTTAGCAGGCTGTATTTCCTTTACCTTATCATAAAACTGAATTTATGAAATCTAATAACAGGAGAGCACAGCTCTTCTCTTCACTTGTGTCCCTTTGAATTAATCTTTCCTGTGCAATCTGGTCATTTGTGTTTGCAGTATTCCAGAAAGTCTCACTAGTGGCTCAATGCCACTAATACCTCATTTGATACATCCTAAAACTACAATTATTTTCTTTGTGTCCAGTGTTTCTTATCACTTAATATACCAAGGTCCTTTTATCCTGTGGTTGTTCCTCAGTAAGAAACCTCAAGCTTTTAGGAGAAATTCCTATTATCCTTGGGTGCATGGCCATGTCCTTTTATCCTGTGGCTGTTCCTCAGTAAGAAACCTCAAGCTTTTAGGAGAAATTCCTATTATCCTTGGGTGCATGGCCATGTACTTTGCCTTATTACCCGACTCCGTTTTGGTTGGTGCAGCTCTAAAGATCATTCAGTTCTTTGTAGGATTTTTCTGATCTTTCTCCTTGGATGATGCATGCTACTTCTGAGTCATCAACAAACTTCACTTCTCTCAGTGACCTGAACACAAATGTAAGTGTAGGATTTGTCTGAAATGTGATTCTTGATAAACTAGAGCAGTAATTTCCTGCCAGGTCAGTAATCTCTATCAATCATGTAGCTGCTGTCATTTCCCTTTCAGCCTGTTGGTTTTCTAAGTGTACACATCTTTCCACCTCCCTCTTTTTCTTTCATTTTTTTCCCCTCATTTTTTTCTTCAGCTCTGTCACATCATAGTCAGTGTGCACCGTAGGATCATCTTTATCAATCAGACTGTACTTATTAGAACAGTCAATTACCATACCAAGAGAGATACTTAATTTCTGCGCATCTTTCTTCGATATCTGTTCTGGGCTGTTACTTTTGTTAGGTCTGTCTCATGGACTTCAGGGACTTCTGATGGGTTTTTTTGTGGGTTTTTTTTTTTTGTTTTTTTTTTTTTATTTAAATGGGTAACTAGTGCTTTCATGTGCCAGTTCTTGGAGTGTTGTGGAATGTACTGTCTGATTATGTGAACACACAAAGTCATCTCTGATTCCAATTTAGATAGGATTACCATACAATTTTCATGCATTAATCTTCATTGGCTCAGCCTGCTGTGATACATTTCTTTGGCCTGTAACAAAGGGGAAAATAAGAACACAATTGCAGAAATACAGCTGCTTGTTTAAATATTGAAAAGGAGTTACAGAATTTGGTTTTGACAGGAACTGAGAAGCAGTGCTGGAAGAAGAAAAAGAAGTGTGAGCAGATTGCCCAAATGCAGAAGTGTCCAGTGTAAAGTTGGGCTTCCTTCCGTATCTTCCACATCTTTGTTGAGGTGGCTGGCATAGTAGGCAGGGATCTTAAGGCCACTCTGAAAGGGTCAATTAGCACCTCCCCATTACCTCGAGGAAGGAATCCCAGGTATTTGTATTGAGGACCAATTTTGATGAGGAAGTGGACTTGCATGGTTAGAAGTGCTGTGAAAGTGGAGTTTGAGACTGGACAAGTTTGGCAGCAGAACCCACTGAGGAAAGAAGCTCAGGTAGGTTCTTATATGTGTTTATTTTCACTGTGTGCGAAAACACTGTGCATTTTCCCCTCCCTAAACGATGGCTTTGCATGTAGGCAGGGAAAGAAGAAAGTGTCTTTTGAAGTTCTAGTTTGTTTTAACAACCCCTTGGTGACTGCCAGCATAAAAAGCAAGAGAGAAAATACTCTTAACAACTGCAAAAATATTCCCAAGTGTGACAAATACTGATGGAGTTTCTAAGTAACACATTTTCAGTGCATAGCAAACAGAAAATAAAACTTAGTAAACCAGATAGTTGAGCATTCAAAGTAAACGCATGAAAGCCTTGAAATAATCTTTGTAAACAATTAATTGCATTCATATTCAGGGTGCGGGTTTTTTTCTGTGTGTTTATCTTTGCAAACAAAGATGTAGTGCCTTGATTTTTCAGCAGTTTTAACGTGCCATACTTGGATTCAGAGGTACGGAGAAAGAGATGATGTTTACTGCTGGTGGAGAAGGACAGCCTTGGCTTCGCTTGCAGAATCTGAGGGAAGGCTTCAGTTTTCCATGTCTGTTGTCCTGTCCTAGATTGTCCTGTTGTTGTTCTGCAGAGGATGAAGCGCCTTCCCATGCCATTTTGCACTCAGCCACTGTGGTTACTGCAGTGGGAAGCTTGCTGACAAATGTGATTATGGAACAGTTGCGTGCTGTGGACTTTAAATGCAACACAAGCAAGCAAGACACAAGAATGATACTTACTGAAATGAGCTTAGTAGCATATAGTGCATGATAACCAGGGAGCCAGATCTGAATGTTAGATGTGAAAACTATTTGCTTCAGTAGGATCCATTTGGGAAAACTTTTATATATTTTTCCTGCTTATCTCTCCTAATATTCTAGTCCTTTACATACGACAGTGTTCATCTTGCTGTTTTTCAGTGGCCCACCTGAGGCTTTCTTGGGTGTCATCTGTTCTATGCCTAGTCAAGTGGAAGAGGAACCAGGCAAAAATATGGTGTGTTCTCTGACATTTTTGAAGAGTGGAGCCGTGATGTTGAGGCGGGGGAGAATGCACATTAGGCCAAAGATGGAAGGACAGAGTGCAGAAAGCTGTACAGCGGCAGCGCACAGGTCCTGAGACAGCGGACACAGGTGGAACGAGATGCATGGGGACATACACATCTCCTTGGTCATTGCTATACATTTACTCAATGGTATCTTACCAGTGCTCTATACCCCTTCTACTTTTGCTGCTAGTCTTGCACCTTGCTGTACCCGATCTTCTGAATCCCAATAGAAATTGAATGAGACTTTTTTAGCATAAACGCTGTGATCTGTGATTCATGCAAGAGTAGTCAGTACGTGTTTTACACAGCTTGAAAAGCATCGTTGTTCTTTGTAAGTACTCAAGTGAAAGTTCATCTTTCAAAAACTTGTACTTTTTCCTTCAAAGTAAGTGTATGCCCCTGTCCATCTGCACCTTCATAGAAAGTTTTACTAAATCACAGCAATGTGAATTCAAGGCAATGTACTTACTCACAAACTGCACAAAGCAGCGTGCTGTGTTACGGGAGTTGCGCTGAAGGTCTTTTTCAGCCATCTGGTGCCTCCCTGCAGCTCCTGGGCACGGCTCTTCAAAATCAGCAGCTAGCTTTCCGTTCCTCCCATGGGACTGATGATTTTCCTGCTGTCCCTTTGTAAAAGTTCAGGTGCAGCTGTGACGTTACAAGTAACTATCTTGCTGAACTCATCCAGCTCCGAGGTCTCTTCCTTGTCTCTTTCCATTTACACAGTGCACACCTGACAATTGCTCTGCACCTGCTCCCGTGATACATGCAGCTTTACTTGCCGGTGTCTAGGAGCCTGTTGTATGGTTTCCCGAGCAAGGCAGGGAAGGATACATCCCAAGATCACAATTAGCGTGACAATTAAACCAACGAGAATGTGCTAGTATAGGAAAAATGTTGCTGCATGCAGCTTTTTAAAAAGTCCTCTGTTCCAAAAATTGCAAGCAGTATGTAGTTTTCCTGACCGGGTTTGTTGCTGCACAAGTGAGCAGGGCGGTATTTGAGCTTTGGAAATACAACGGAATCGGGTGTCTTGTTTCTAAAATGGGCATGCAATTGCTGTTGATATCTGCAGCGTTCATGTTTCTGATGATGAGTAGAAAAGGAAGCTATGTAAAAACGTGAGTTATGGAATGGAATGAGGAAGCAAGGACATTCTTCAAAGTCATGATATGATAATAGTATGGAGTAGAAAGGGTTTAGTGGGAGCTTGATACTGTGGCCCTGTGGTCTCTTTAGGGTTGTTAGTATGTGAAGCGTAAAGAAGCCCTCATAGCAGTGTGCTGGTAGGGACAGGGCCCCCTCTGAGACACTGTGCGTACCTTCTGCGTAACATGTCTGTCATCACTCCAGGTGCTTGCTGAGAGGATTCACTCTGCAGGCCAAATAACCATATTTGTCTATATCCTGGCAAAACTTCAGGGATAGCGGTTGTGCGCCAGCACAAGTGGTACCAATAAAGCTTCCTGGAGTAGCGGTGACTTTCATGTAGATTCAGTAAAAGCTGTTTGCACAGAGAAAGGGAAATAATTTATACTGTTAACACTGTGTCCACCCTAAATGTGGTACTGGTAGGATTACTGCAGGAAAGAACAACAACAAAACAACCCCAAAAGGTTGCATTCCTAACCAGTCTGGTTTTAGTAGTAAAAGCTGTTTGTAGGCTGGGACTGAGGACAGCATATTGGCACTACTTAGAAGAAAAAAGGCAATTAGAGTTCACGCATATTTTTGCTTTTCTCTGCTGCTGGGATTCCTCATGCTTTCCTTATGTCCCTGGGAGTTGGGTGTTGAGTGCTGGAGGCTGCTGCAGCCCCGTGGGTCGGAACCCACCAACATTGTACAGATTCCGTCCCGTAGTGACTGAAGCACAAGCTTTGTACTCCAGTATACTTGATTAGAAGGTGATCTTTGGAATCCAGTATGCTTCAACCTGTTGACGTTGAAAGCTGGTATTTCAGCATGTCCGTAGATAAATGGAGTTATTGTGCTGTCTGTTATAGCTTTTACTTTATTTGGAGCATTGCTTATGGATAATTAAAGTTTATAGGGAAAGGAATTGCAGGAGAGTATGCTTTTAGTTTGCCATTACTGCTTTTACCTGAGATCTGAGATTACTCTATAAACACCAAATGAGTCTCTGAGCACAGAGCTGGTTAGAATTACACTGTCATTATAATGAGTAAAATGAAGGCCAGAAAGTTAAGTGTTTTGGTAAAGTTATTGAATGATAGCATTGTGGTACAGCTGTTACACTTTGGCATCCTGAAAGCAATGCAAGTTTACCTCATTATGAAAATGTTAGATCAAGGAACCGGGTGCATGAAGAGCAGGATGTACCTCTTACTTCACAGCTTTTGAATGAGGCAAAGTTTATGGGAAGATGTAGTATAGTTGTAGTTAAAGCACAGCTCTGGAAACAACCACGGAACTGCTGGGCATAATCTAGCTGGAAATAAATACTATAAAAGGTGAAATAAAGCTTCTGCCATCTAGCTCGAAGAAACATCTCTCTTTGAACGTCAAGCACATGGATCTAAGTGATGAAAGACCTGACCTACTAGTAACTACTGCTGTTGCCAAGGCTTAGCAGTAACTACACCATGCTGAGTCAATGATTCTTCACGTTGGAGGACCCCTGTTGAATGACAGCAGTATAATGCTATCAGATTTTCACATCTTTTAAATCTGGCATGCTTTGCTCAGAAAGTTCAGTGAGCATTGTTTTCTCTTTGAAATTCTTCAGCTGCGTGGCTGATGTAGGGTTTGAAAAGTTCCCAGGAAGGCTGTGGGTTTTGAAATGCTATCTGTCTACACATGATTTTAATTAAAAATGGTTATTCTGCTGCATTTCCCCAATTTTTATTTTTCTGTTAAGATGAACTATACGTCTAGTCTGTTGAAAGATAGCTGTACAATGTGTGACTAGTGCAGGTGCTTTCTACACTTGAAAATAGTTCTAAATGGTTTTCTTAATCTCTTCAAAATTCAGTATTGCTATTATACCACTATCTATTTTGCAAATAAATGGTATGTATTGATGAAACTTGTCAATATCCATTTGACTTACGAGGCTAAGTTAAATAATTCAAAGGCAGATCTGTAGTGCTTCACATTATGCATTCTCAGAATTATTTAAATATTCATTATCACTAATAGAGAGCTTTATCGCATTCCTTATTCCACCCATGTGCCGTTATATGCTTGCCTTTTACAAGTAATTATTTGGATTGCTGCAGATCTGGGTAAATCCAAGTGCTAAAACCTTTCATACTTCAGGAGGAGAGTCGAAGAACACTGCAAAATCCTTAGTTTGTATTTATTATTCAGCTTTCAGTCATACAGTCTTCTTTAAACATAGTGATTTGCTAACTGTGTTTTGTATGTATTTCAGTCCTATAAGATCATCAATTTTGCTCCAAGTCTACTGCAAATCATAGTATCAGATCAAGTTGAATTTCCAGTGCGTCAAGCAGGTGAGATAAATTCCTTGTTTCATTTTCTTTCAGTAGAAAGTCAGTCTGTTAGTTATTTCAACAGAGTATTGAGCTGTTGCAATGTAAGTTCACATTTGTTCTGAATATGGAAGTGAAAAGGATCTATCTTTCCTACATGAAGGTCAGATAAAACCATGGGTGTAGTGTAGAGTCCTGCGTTGGCTTCCCTGTGTTTGTAGTGATCCCTACTGGATTGCTGTGATACTGATATGAAAAGAATTATTTCTGCTCAAAACTGAGTACCCAGGGAGCCTTAGGTGTTCTTTCTTCTGGTGGTTAAGAAGTAGTGATGCCAAGACAAATGGGAATTAAAAAAAAAAAAAAAGTGGATCTCACTTGAATACATTTCTCTATTTGAATCCCTTTTCCTGGAGAAATGAATGTTTCTGAAAAATGAAAAAAACCCCATAGTTCCCTAGGTCAAGGGTAGCCACATAGGCTTAGTCAGTATCTGTGGTGTCCGCTCACAAAAGTAGATATGAAGGAAGGTCACATCACTGGTAGGTTATAAGTGTATAGTCTGAGCATGTCTAGAAGGATTGCCCAGCTGTGTGTATGAGTTCAGGTATGGTGATGTGGTTAACTTTAGGGTATGCGTTTGTGTAAGATCAGATTCGAAATTGTCATGATCTATTTTAACTACTCCTGTATAATGTTTTTGACAGATAAAGAAAATATTCAGCTTTTTCAAGAAATTGATGAATACTGTTTCATTCACAGCTCTGTTTTTATCCTATGGAACAGCATTTCCCATAGAAGCATTATTGGGTTTTTTGTACAGATCCTATTAATCCCCTGAGTGCGTTGGGGCATGCTGACAGATGCTGTTTGTCATGCTGGCCTGTATTTATTCAAAGATAATCCAACTTTGAATGGTATTGTTAAACCATTCTGTAGTGAAGTTTGATGCTTAATCTAGACTCCATAAGGTCATTTTTGTAAATTAATCTCTCAGTTCAGTATCATTCAGGACAAAAAAACAAGTATATAGAACATTAATTTTTTTAATTTCTGTTTAATTTTTTTATTTTTTACAGAGTAGGGGTATAAAATAGAAAAGCACATTTAAATTACATTTGTATGTCAACAATTTCTCTGTGAATTTTTTAAAAGCCAAGAATTTGTATAACAGCAAAATCTATGGATAAAGTAAATTAAAGTCTTGGGCTGGTCTTCCTGGACCTGTCTCTTGTCTGAATATGACATCATATGACAAGCTGTTTTTCCTCTTGCTCCTATGAAATATTTTACAACTTACATGTTTTCATACTATGTAATTTGTCATCATCAAGAAAAATTAGTGTACCCAAGGATATCTTATTGCAGTTTAAAACCTTAGCTAGTAATCAACCAAAATAGTACGGGGCTAAGAGTTTGTTAAGAACATTCCTTTAATGTCTTACACCGTGTTTCCTCTGTTTCCTAGAGAATGCCTACAGGCATGTTAGTACTGAGGCATAAATGCTGCTTTATTTTCAGTTGAAGATTAACTTTATTTTTCATGTTTTTTCATGTGAGACAGAAGGGAACAATTCTAAGGGATTATGGGAAATCCTAATAGTGAGATAAAGCTTAGGGAATTGACAACACACAGTTCTGTCTGAATAGAAGGTAGGCCATGTGCCAGTTTCATACTGGGCATTGCCCCAAGCAGAGTGTCCCATCTGCGTGCACAATGATTTGTTTACACAAGCCTTCCAAAACTTCACTTACTGAGCTTGAGTAGTTGTTTTAGGGATGAGTAAAAATGCAGATAATTAGGTTTTTGTTTGTTTATTTAGAACGATGGAATATTATATCCATATGGAAGACTGCTGTAATAAAGAATGTACCCCAATAGAAGCTGACTGGAATACTATCCTGTTCTGTTTAGGACTGGGCACTTGGGCTGATCTTGTGTGGAATCATTAAAAAAATGGTTTTCTGACTCAGCTGTGCTCGGTGCCTGTAATTGTTAGGAATTCACACAGTGGTTTTCAGTCATCTTTTCAACTCTTTGTTCTACTTTCAACTGTACTACATGTTGAGCACAGAGTAATGTGAAGATGTGTTAGAAGTAAATTATTATTTCCCCAATGTTTATACTTAGCTGCCATTTACCTGAAGAACATGGTGACACAGTACTGGCCGGACCGTGAACCACCTCCTGGAGAAGCAATATTTCCATTCAACATTCATGAAAATGATCGTCAGCAGATTCGTGATAACATTGTAGAAGGAATAATTCGTTCTCCTGACTTAGTGAGGTACCTTATATTCTGTAGAGATATTTCTATAGCTCAAGTTGTTGGACCTACCAATCTGGATGTAGTTAATGTGAGAAACTTAATTTCTTGGGAGATGAAGCAAGTACTTATTTTGAAAAAATAATAATAATTAGTTTTACCATATTTATATGCACTTGTTTTCCAGAAATGTATTAACTTGGCTAAGAGGTCTCTGATGTGATTTGTCCTCTTATGGTATAGTTTAAAGTGTCTTCTAACACTTGCTGTAGTGACAGCTTGTCTATTTGGCTGATTTAGAGCAGATGGTATAGAGGGCTATCTGCAATACAGAATCACCCATTCAGAAAAATGCTGCCCAAGATCTTTTTTTTTTCCCTCCAGTAGCCTTTTCCTCAATTACTTTTGCAGTTTTTATGTGTAATCCCAGTATTTAAATATGTGTTAGCATTCTTGGGTTTAAGATGTTAAAAGAATGAAGAAATGCTGTTCTCTTTTTGCTGGAAGAATAGTTAAGATTCACAGACATACTACAGTCTATGGTTGTTCACCACTCTAATTCAAGTGAGGCTGATAGGATGGGATTAGGCCATAGTGTATAGATGTTAATCTTTGAAAAACAGAAGACAATCTTCCTCTTCTCTCCTCCTCCTCTCCACTAGCTAGGTGCCCAAAGATGTCTTTTTTTTTTTTTTTTTTTTTTTTTTTTGTTCAGTATTCATATCCAGAGTAGGAGTGATTGTCTGTAGATTGAAATTAGGATTAGAGAAAACACTTCAAAAAAATAATGAAACGCCAGAATGCATTAGCCTGCTATAGTGTTGCTGTCACTGGAAGTCTTTATGAATAGATTAGACAAACACCTGCCAGGACTGCTTAGATCCTGCATTGAGGCAGGAAAATGAACTAAAACATAATTTCCAGTTCAGCTTTTCTGATGTGCTCTGACACAGATGTCTAGACTCCCCACTGAAAGAGATAGTTGCTCCTTGCCAAGGTTGTGCTACAAGGTAAGGAAGCTTGTGTTGTTTCTGTGATAAATGTAATCAAGGCATGTAGTTTCCTCTGCCATCATGTCATAAATATCAAGGCTAAGTTTATACAAAAGAACACAAAATAATGGAAGTTTGAGGAGTTTTTTGAAAAGTAGTTCAGGCATCATTTCATAACCTGATATTCAAAATGCTCTGACATTACAATGACAACCTACATCTAAAAGGATTGTTGAAAACCCTGGGACAATCATCTGGAATAAAATAGAGGGTTTCTAAATACTGGCTAAACTTGTAGATTTGTCAGAGGTTAAAAAAGTCAAAGAAACTTCACTGGAACTCGTCTGATGTGGTAATACTGATATTTTTCACTGTTTGCTTGTAAGAATGGGGAGGGAGGATGAACCAAATTGGCAATGAGCACAAGCTCCAAAGCCTTGAGGGGGAAGGTAAGTTTGTAGAAAGCTAAAAGGGATCCATAGGTGGAAGGCCCCTTATTGAACTGCTTTGTATTAGTGGCTCCTTATGTAATGGGCTGCAGGAGGATACCCAAGGAAAACTAAATACAGAAGAACCAATATTTTCTGCAGACTTTTTTTTTTTATTATTATTATTCCTCAGTGGAGCCAAGAATATTTGTTTACAGCTTCTAGTTCAGTGCCTCTCAGCTTTTTTAGTCACACCTCACTTTAGTCAATTAAGAATCCTGTCTTGCCTCACCTTTGTGAGTGGTATCTAAGGTGTGTGGAGGGAGAGGAATGGTAAGATGTTTTTACCTAATTGGCTCTGCCATATGCTTCGGAGGTTGAGAATTGCTCTTCTAGAAGATCCCAGGAAAATTGTTATTTATTTGATGAGGAGCCTCTGACTTGGATCATAACACAATCCAATATTGTTTAATAAAAAATGTACAAATTCGTGTTTTTGTGGTTGCTTTCAGCCTCATAAGCGTGTAGAAGTATAAACATTCATTTTCAAAGTACAAAGCTAGCTGGTTTCATAAGCAATTAATTGTTTTCAAATATTGCCTGATGGGTGTGGAGAGGGAGGAAGAAGGGACAAAAGTAGCTAAAATGTTCTGAAATTAGTTTCTTCCTTAAAGTTAAATCCCCTGGGATTATTTTTTTTCTTGCTTTTCCTCTGCTACTTCCCAGAACTCTTTCAGTGCTGTGAAAATATGTATGATACTTATGTAATATGTATGTTGTGGCCAATAAACCAAGATTTGGGACCTATCCTTTAGTATTAAACACTATGCCATGATCTTTTTTTACTTATAATGTATTTCTTTTTCCCTCCTGACATAGAGCCCAGCTGACAATGTGCCTCCGTGCTATCATTAAACATGACTTTCCTGGTCATTGGACAGCCGTGGTAGACAAGATAGGCTACTACTTGCAGTCTCAGAACAGTGGGAGTTGGCTTGGGAGCCTCCTGTGCCTGTATCAGCTGGTGAAGACTTACGAGTAAGTTGATGTCCATCAGTAGATGAGGAATCAGCATTATTAGTCTCAGCTGATTACTGAGAGTGACATTCTTATGAGCACTGGCAGTTCTACAAGGAATTCGGATAGAAAATGGGATAATAATTGTCATATGCTTCCTTTCCTGCAAATAAATGAAAACTATTCATCACCTTTATATCATATGAGTGCATTGAAAGCAGAGATGCCAGCAATGATCTGTATGAATTTACTGACATTTTTTGCTTGAGGCTTTGTACTTTTGATCTGGTTTAACCCATCTGTGAAAAAATTCTTAAATGTTTATAACTTCTTTTGTTTGAAGATTCCCCAAATGCTGGGTATATGAATACAAATTATTTTCTTATTCTGTGTCATGAATACAGTACTGTTGTCATATACTTCTATTGCATGTTGTTACCTGTACCATCCTCCTGATAGTCTAAATCCACAAAGCACAAGTTAGGAGAAGTCTAGTGTACTCTCTCACTCATTTTTAAAACACAATTATGTGTTGTTAGAAACATATGTATAAACCACACAAAAGAAATGTAAATGGAGAAAGAGAATCTTTTCAAAACAAAGGAATTGTCTTTCCCTTTCAATTGCTGTTCACTCCTATTTGTTCAGCACCCAACTTGGGTTTGGCATTGGTATGAATGTCAGAGAAATAAGTCCCTGCTCCTCTGAGCTGTCAGTTCAGTAGTAAAGAACATTTAGTTCTTCCTCACGATATCTGCATTTATATAAGGTAACATTTATTGCTTTTCATTTCTCTGTTTATAGGTTAGAGAATTTGCACAGATTGTTGAGATGGAGGCTAGAGGAGGGGAGAGTGGAAGAGTTAGTGCTGGATTTTAATTTAGGATTTTAATTTTTTTAGGATTCAGAAACTAAATTGCTGGTGGGGAATAGGCATTAGAATCTCCAGTGTGTAGATCCCGGACCAACATTTTTGTTTCCTTTGCAGATACAAAAAAGCAGAGGAGCGAGATCCTCTCATAGCAGCAATGCAAATATTTTTGCCTCGGATTCAGCAGCAGATGATCCAGCTTCTGCCTGATAACTCCCATTACTCTGTACTGCTTCAGAAACAAATCTTAAAAATCTTCTATGCTCTTGTTCAGGTTGGCATCCGTGTAGGGGAAAACCGAAACTTTTACTTTGCTGGGCACAACGACCCCCTTCAGTACACTCATGGGTGTGATTGAATAAGAAAACCAATTTGGATGGGAAAATTCATGTACAATAAACAGCTTTTATAAAAATAGGATCTTTGTAGATTTTTCTACTTAAAAATTGGTCACATGATACCCCAGGTTAAATTTGTAATGAACCTAGGTACTTCTGCACATCCTATCTGTGAGCTTACTGGAGAAATGTTCTTATTTTTATAAAATCACATATGAGATATAAACTGTGTGGGTATCTAGACTGCTGGTTGGCCTCTGAAAGTGTCAGTAGTGCGTATGATAGTATAATTGTCAAGTAGTGCACTTCAGTAGGTGGCGTTTCTCATCTGAAGATCTGACAAATTGTCAAGACACATGCATTTTACAGAGATGAGTTTGGTATTTACAGGGATTAGTTTGGTGAGGAAGTACTTTTAGAGAATGAGAAACAAAATCAGATCCTACATAAGGGGCAGCCTGAAAATTCTTAGTGGGGGTTAAAAAGTTAAATAGTTTGTTATTAGATGGGGGGAGGATTAAAAAGACCCCGAGATCCTATTTTATTTGTAAGTGGCTTACCTGAGTAGACACTTTGCTTTGGATTTTGTAGAGAAGTAAGATTTACTGGAGAGTAGCTAGGTAGTAATTAGGAGTACATTTCACTTACTAAAATGCTATTGGTTTCCCCAAGCCCTGCGGTATAGCTACTGCCGTGGTCTCTAAAAGTCAGCTGGGCTATTGTGACAAAAAGAGTTGGCAAGTTCTCAGACCAAGGAACTTTCCTCAAATAGTGTCTGCTCAGAAATTCCTCTGTAACTTTTACCAAGAAGGATGCAGTTAGAGTAGTATTTACTACTTAATTAACTTATTATACTAGTATATATACTAGTATAAATATATATACTAGTATAAATACTACTTATTAACTACTTAATAACTTAATTAACCTTATTAGTTTTCATTTTACTTAAAACCTCATCTTCCTCAGAATGTAACTATTGTAGAAACACCTTCTACCTTTCTCAGAGAAAATTAGTATTTCATGACTGTGGGGTTTTTTTCTTATTTCAGTATGCATTGCCACTCCAGTTGGTGAATAACCAGACTATGACTCAGTGGATGGAGATCTTCCGTACTATCATTGACAGAAATGTACCTCCGGTAAGTTGTAGTTTTATAAAGTCCTCTCATGCTTGTGTGTTGGCATTTGAGGAACTGACGGTCTGAAGGTTTTCTAATTGTTTTTTTTTTTAAGATGTCATCTATTTAAGATTCTTATCCCTGGAATAAGTGGTGTTTCAGACAGAAACATAGGAAGATCGTGTAAACTGTCAGAATTTCAATGTATGAGGTAGTGACACCATGTAAACTCCAGTCTGGGATATTTTGGAAGTTTCCAAATATTTTAGCCAGTTTCTCTCAAACAAGAATCAAAAGCTCATCACAAACCCATCATTTGTCTCCATTCCTCTTTTTCTTTCATCCATCCTTCATATTTCTTGAAGAACAAAACAAAAATAGTAATAAAATTTTTGTTTGTGTGTATACAACATTAACTGGCATTTCCTAACTTTTTTAGAAATTTATTTCACAACCTTAACATTGTTTTAATAGCTTTTGCATTAGTATATCGTTAGGGTATATATATTTGGAGGAGTTAGTATCATGCTTAATTTTTAAGCCAGAGTGCACGCCACTGTGTAGTATTCAAGTATATGTGAGAGTTTCCATTTTCTAAATATGTGTAATTTTGAAAATTAAAGTACAGGCATTGTACAAGTATTGCACATATACAGTTATATTGACTAATTAAGATATTTGAAAGTTCCTGAATGTTATATAACTGTTAACAGACCCAAAGCTTTAGTCAATGCTGTGGATTTGTATTAGTTTACTCAGCAAGGAATGTTTAAAGCATCATTTCTCTCAACAATACACACAGCTAATTTAAATAAATTTATTTACTTATAGGAGACTTTGCAAATTGATGAAGATGATAGACCAGAGCTGGTGTGGTGGAAATGCAAGAAGTGGGCATTGCATATAGTAGCTCGTCTTTTTGAACGGTAACAAACTAACAAACTGATTAAAAACTAAGTCGGGATTACAAATCTGTAATGTTTACTTAAGGTACAATTAGACAAGGCAGTTTTCAGCCACTGGTCTGAGCTCTCAGTGAGATGATTTGACTCTCTAAGACGGCAAGAAACTAGCCCCACAGGAAAAATATATTTTTAAAATTTTTCTATTACTATGTCCAACTACAAGTGCTTATATTCTCAAATATAAAGGCAGGGGAAGATCTGAAAAGAAATCCATAAATATGGAAGTTACAGAGCTTGTGACAAAAAGGTGGCTATATTTACTTGACTACAGTATTGCACCTTCTGAGAATCTAAGAAAAGAAAAGGGAAGTGGGCATTATTTGGGAAATAATGGCTTAGAAGGAACTTGTGCGAAGGGATTCCTTTGGGGATGGAAGACTAGTCACGGTCCTTTGTGTTTTAGAAAGTACTGTGGTTTCCTGACACAGTAGACTTCTCAGAATGTAAATATCTGTGTCCTCTTCTTTTTAAAGGTATGGAAGTCCTGGAAATGTGACTAAAGAATACTTTGAATTCTCAGAGTTTTTTTTAAAAACGTACGCTGTGGGCATACAACAGGTAAGTATAGTTAATTTGTTTCTGAATTAGATAATTTTGGCTGAACAAACGTATTGTTTTCAACAGTGTGCTCTTATTGAAGTTCATTCTTTAAACAAAAATGAACAGTCAGGCAGGTTTTCCTTTTAGTGATTGAGAGGTTCTTTAGAACTCAGTGTCATACAGCTGAGGTATAATAACACAAATTTTCAGCAATTCAAAAAAACCCTGCAGGAAAATCCTCAGAAAAGGCGAGTGCTGATAAAACGGTATTATCGTCATGTGTAAACATTCTAGATGTAGCTGAGAGAAAAAAATATTGATGCAGAGGCCTCATGTCATAGAAGGGTGTATCTTCAGGCCAGTCTTAAGTAAGTGCTTTTGCTGCAAATAACTTCGGCACAGTAATCCAATGATACTGTTTTATTTCAGGAATATATAAGCAGATTAGAAAGTGTCTGGAGAACAGCAATAAACATTATTTTATACCTGGAAAGCATATTTTAGGAAAATATAGGATAAATTCACAGTTTGCAAGGAAATTATTTTTGTTGGGGAATGCTAATTATTTGTGGTTAACGTGGTGTTGTGGAGACAATTCAGTTCTGATAAAGTTGCATAGAAGAGAGGCAGTTCCTGTCAGAGTTATCTGTGTTTTTCTGCCAGCTCAGCTGTGGGCCCCTGGGAACATGGGCTTCCAGGCTTTCAGCATCTGCCTGGCTTGGTGGAATGGCTATAGCAACTGGGTGCCTGAAAGCCCTGAGACTGCTGGCTCTCAAGATCAGATGTTTTTGGCACAGCTCCTCCTGTTTCCCATTCAGCCTGCCATATACTAGATGACTAGGCACAGTGGTTCCCAGGCTTTTGGCTCAGCTAGAGCTCTTGGTTGTCCAGGCTTTTGGGTTACATATTCCAAACAGGCTCCTAAGAAGCCAGAGGAATGCAGTAGGCTCTGCTGCTCATCATTCTGGGCTCTTGATTCCCTTTGGCCTGTAAACCTTGAAAAACACCTGGGAATGCTGTTTTTCAAGTGACAGTTGTTTGGGTAATATGTATTTCCAGAATATGTGGCTCCTCAGCACGCTGCCAGATGAAATAACCTTGACACGGCATCTGCAAGCTTCGTAGTTTAAATTTCCAGTGCCTTTGATGCAGGGTGCCAGGCTGTTGTTGTTACTTCAATTCAAATCTAAACTAGATTTCAAAATACCAGGATTGTCTGCAAAACAAAATTAATTTTCTTCATCTGGTTTGACAACAGAATAGTTTATCCATCAGCATATTAATTCTGCATAAATAAGTAAATGTTAAGAACTAAAGAGAGGAATGGTTGTGGTAAGGCTGTAAGTATTAAATGAAAAGGGAAATACCTATTTTGAACTCTTTGCAATGTTTAACTCCTGAGTGGAAAAATAGACTCCCAGGGGCAGTTGTCATTTGAAATACTTAAAGTTTGTCTGCTAAGAGATTAGGCTATGTAGCAGAGGGAGCAGTTTAGCTTTCAAGATAAGTGGAATGGACAATCTGCACATTTCTTCCATTTTTGGCTCTTAAATGCTGATTTGTCACATTTCCTTGCAGAGTTAGTAAGAATTCTGTTGTGAATATTCCATTACTAAGCCTTCATTACTTATTCATCAGTTGTTAAGTGCTGACATCATGCTAGAGTCCATATGAGATATAGACAATTCTTGCCCAAGGAGCATATCATATAAAAGACTTAAGCTCAGACTTAGTACTCCTAATGAAGGAGTTATGTTCAAAATAAGATTTATTATAACGTCATGAAGAATTATGAAGCACAGTCATCCTTCTGAAAATATATGACTCAATATTTTGTTGTGCGTTGCCCTTGATTTTTATTGTTACTCATGTACATGCCAATTCTTTACACTTACTTATGCTTAATAGTTCATCTGCTGTTAGTGCAGATTAGGGGCTTGGTACTGTAGGTTTTCCTTAGTAGGCCAAGCCTTTATATTAGGGAAGCTTTGTGTGATAGAGTTTGTGATAGCATGCTAGATGATATTATCTGATGGTTACAACAGGTAATTGTTGAGTTAAGGGTTTTGCATCTCTTCTGGTTCACAGACTTAGGTGCTAACCTATTTTTCTTTTCTAATTTAGTATTTCTATTCTTACCACTGTTCTTCCAAAGTAATTTGTCTTCTTCAGGGGCCTGTCCTTAAAAAATGAACACAGACACCAGTAACAGATTTAGAAGCCAATCAGATTGAAAATCTCACTGTACCTTTTCCTTATCTATTTCAAAAATTTGCTGAGGCCTGTGTAAACTGTGAGCCTGTGAATATTGAAGTATATCTTTGGTTTACAATCCCAAGTGATCACGTGGTGGGGCTAGTAATGAAGGTAGACATGTACATAAATGTTTGCAGGACTAGATCCTTAATATTTAAATGATTTCTAACTAGAACCTCTGCTGTCCATGTACATTCACTGAAGAGGAGCACTGCATGTCTGTTCATGAGACATCTTCATTTAAAAATGTCAATTTGTCATTTCTTTAGGTTCTCTTAAGAATCTTAGACCAATACAGGCAAAAAGACTATGTTGCGCCACGTGTTCTTCAGCAAACGTTAAATTATCTGAACCAAGGGGTTATTCACTCTGTAACGTGGAAGCAAATGAAGCCACACATACAGGTCAGTGCATAAAACCCAGTCGTAAACACTGTGAAACACTGCATGTCATCAGAGCAATTAAAAGAAAACAACCCCAAAACCCCACCAGTTTTGCAGTTTTAAAGAAGGTTTCACGAATCTTTCATGCAGCAATTGCTCTGGGAAAAAAATTGCATTTGTACAAGAATGTGGGGGTTTTTTTTCAGTGTTATGACTATTTTTGATTGCAGATATTGTTAACTCAATTAAAGATTCTGTTCCATAAGTTCTTTATTTTGATTTTATGTGTACTTATGTGACTTTTCTAATATTAGAGTATAACAGAAGAAGTGATATTCTCTCTAATGTGCTACAAAGATGAGGACGAAGAGCTCTGGCAAGAGGATCCATATGAATATATCCGCATGAAATTTGGTAAATGTTTGTGTTTAGCATTTATTTTCTGCTTTCATCATAACTGTATAGTCCCAGTTAACAGCATGGCCACTGTGACATCTCTGTCTTCACCAGTGTCCTGAGCAATAGGAAGAAGAAAATTTGTTACTTAAATCTCACCAATCTGTAGTTAAAAGAAGAAGACAGATCAAGTGGGGACTTAAATCTCACCAATCTGTAGTTAAAAGAAGACAGATCAAGTGGGTTTTTGGTAGCTTTAAACTAAAGGATTCTCTTTTTTTCTACTTAACATGTGCTCAGTGCAAATAGATGGGCTTGCTCGCTTTTTAATGCCAGTTTCAGAATCCTGAATTGCAGATGTGCCAGGTGTCTGCAAGTTCTTGCAGCTCTCACTTTGACCAGAAGAGGCCTGACTTGCGCTTTCCCTATTGAAAATTGTTAATGTCTTCAAAATTTTTTTGCCAATTATTATTACTAAATTGTAAGATAATTAGATATATGTGTTCTTTCAAAAGACAGAGTGCAAAATCTTGGGAATATCACATAGGACCATATTATGAATAACTACTTTTATTAAAGGAGTCATGTCATTGAAAAAGCAAAGGGTACTTTAAAAATACAGCAAATTTAGCTGGAAAACTCCAGTAAGCTGGGCACCACAGAGATATGTAGCATTTGGGAATTTTTAATTAGTTGATTTGGGAGTAGCATACGTGAAAACAGAATTTAAATGTTCATAGAATAGTTAAAAAAACTTGGAGAGTTGTTACGCAAAAAATAGATCACAATATACCGTTGATCACTAAGGTACAAATACGTTGCTGATTTTTGGCATATTAATTCAGTTCTTTCTGTGTAAGTAGTGAATCCTATTTTTATATGTAGCTGAGACAGTTAAATACAGATTTAAATTGTATTGTGGAAGGTAAAAAAAAAACAAGCATGAAAGTATATTAAATTGAAGTTTAGTGAGGCACATTTGGGTTTGGAAAAAGAATTCCAGTAGTCTGGTAGTATTTCTTAATCATGTTTTATCTTCAAGTTCTCAGGAAAAGTTAGTGTGTAATTTTAACCACATTTTAAGATTACCTTTTTAGATCTTTTTATTTAATTCAGTTTGTGTAGGGGTGTTGGGATTAGAACATCTTTGGCAGCACAGATTTTTTTTTTCAAGACATAAATTATATTTTCAATAGGATTAAGGGAGGTTTACTTGTAGTGAATGAAGCTAAAAAGCTTCAACTTTCAGCAGCTTTAAAACTACCCCAGATCCAAGTATTTTTTTCATACAAAAAGTTTCCCATGAGGTTTTAATAAAATCAAGCAAAAATGTGTACATATGCTATACAGACGGTACTGGAATGTATTGTTGTTCTTCCTATAGTGGTTTTAATTTAAAAAAAGCCAGGATTTTTCATGACTTAAATACATGGTCTCAAAAGAATTAATGAATAAATAACACATTCCTCATAAAGGGAATGATGAGTGGTCAGTAGATTTGGAAGGCAAGAAGTAAATGCTTTCGTAAGCTATGGGACATAAGCTTGGGTCTGACTCTTTAACCATGAAGTGAAGACAACAGTGTCAACAGTTTGAAGTTACATATTCATCCTGATTTTGTGATATCCCACAAACAAGATGGTTTATAAAAATTTTATTACTTTCCAATTCAGAAAAGGAAATATTTTTTGCCTTTTTTTTTTTTTTATTTGTTAGATGTATTTGAGGATTATGCATCAACTACAACAGCAGCACAGAATCTCCTTTATACTGCTGCGAAGAAGAGAAAAGAGGTATGGAACAAACAGTTTTTAATTATTTGAAGTTTCCTTAATAATGTTGTTTTCCCTTAAATTTGAAGATGCTACAGGAAGCTGGTCTTGAAAAATCTACTTGCTAATACATAGTCAAACACTTTCCTGGCTGAGAGCTGTCAATTTTGGGAGAATTAAAATATGTGTGTATGTATAATAAATAAATAAGTGGATTCCTCTTGCAGCTTTAAAATGAACCTGCGGGATACAAACTGAGTTGGAGTAGATGTGCTGGTATTTTCTCAAGTTCACAAACAGCCTCTGTCATGGCTGTTCTGAGCTTCCCAAACTGTAGCAGGGGGAAAAGTGAACCTGATCCTTATTAATTTTCACTGATGCCATTTAAAATCCTGTTGGCAGCAGTGAAATTAGCATGAATGAAACCAATTTCATACAGCTGCTCTTTAAATGAGGACATAACTTTTCTGTAGATCTTTCTATACTTACAGTGATGTGTCTAAAAGTACCTGGCCAAGCCCTGGAAAGCATGTGTCAGTTTGCTAAAACCCCAAACTTTTTTCTGGGTACCATTTTAATATCCAGTAAACATGGAGCTCCATTTTCAGATGAATTTTCAGAGAAGAGTGTAGTCTTTATGTCAGGTGGAATAGTCTATGACCTATCTACTTCTTTATTGCCAAAACAGTCCTTGCCCACTGACCTTCTCATTTTCATAATTTGTACTGAGACCATCAAAATGACATAATATCTGAAAAGCAGGTAATGAGTGTGGAAATTACATGAAATAATCGGTTTTGCCAAGAAGCCTTTCTAAGTCTAGTCAACTTTAGAAGTTATTGGCAAAATCAATAGATTAAAATAAGTTTGAGGTTTTAGTTCAAGCTGTTCTTGAATATGTGTATGTTCATACATACATATACACACACATATGTATTTATATATGTGTGAGACAAGCCAGAAGAGCAGTTACGGGGGAAAAAACTGTTTGAGCCTCTTGCCTTTTCATCACTTTTTTTGATTTGCCTCGAGACAACAGAAAAATACCTTATTTACTACTACTAGTGTGAAATTTCAAGCAGTTTAATTTAATTTTGACAAGTTTGGCTGAAACATTGGAAAATGAACCTTCTAAATTTTAACGAGAGATGCTACACATAGTACCTCACAGTTGCTTTGACCAAGATAAAATTTCTACTTAAAAATGTCATATGAATTTTTTAACTTAAACAATGCTATGAAGATAATTTGACAAAAGGAGATTGTGTGTTTTCTGTCTTGCATAGGTATTACCAAAAATGATGGCATATTGCTACCAGATTCTGACAGAGCCAAATATTGATCCAAGGAAAAAAGATGGAGCTCTGCATGTTATAGGGTCACTAGCAGATATTTTACTGAAGGTAAGTGGGAAAAGAAGTGAAAAAGGTTTGTAATTCTTATTGTCAACTGCCATTTCCAATAAAAAAGTCTTAGCTTATAAAGTATGGCTAGCCCTTAGCCATATTTATAAAGTCTGTAGAGAGATTGCACTGTGCAATAAGAATCTGAGGGTTTGTTTCTTTAAAAATATTAACATTCTTTCTTGGTTTTTATATTCCCATTTTGTACACAGATTTTTCTTCTCAAGTTTCTCCAAAGCTCTGTTTGTTTGCTACAGAGCAGTCCCTTGGTCCTTTCCTGCTTTACTAGTAAAATGGAAGGGTGTTAAAAAAGCAAACATGCATTCCATCAATAACATTGCCTATGATTCTTTAGCAAAACCCCCAACAGCCTGCACTATTGTGGGCTGCTTCTGGTTCCAGAAAAATGTTTACTTAACATGTTGCAGGAATGTTTTGTCTAGCTTTCCAGCTTTCTTACCCTGCAATGTGTGGCTTTAAGTCTTATTTCATCAGCCAGTTGGGAGTTTTGAAAATAACTGGAAAGAGCACAGGGTTTTTATCCTTCCTCCATTTTTTATAGACAGTTATCTTCAGAATTTTGAGTTATTTTTCTGGAATTTGAATACAGATTTAATCGCATTGTTGCTGTCTAATGTAATATTGATTGCAGTTTCCCATACGCTTTTGTAGACGGTGGAGTCCAAGGTATGCCCTCTTTCCATGTCAAAATTAACTGCCAAGAAGTTATCACTTTTAGCATGAGAATGGTGGCCTTGTGCTGGAGGCTTCCTTATAAAGTAATTTATTTTATTTTATGTGAGTTGTCTCTCTGTGCAGGATGTGTCTTCATGTTACAAGCAATATCTTACCAATGTTTACCATCTATTTTTTAACAATGTACCAATCCATGATCTGATCTGGAAACCTGAAACATTTTGCAGAATTTTTGTAGACTATGTTGGATTGTAAATGCCCTCCCTCATGCTGGAGTCTAACGGTGAAAGAGGAGGATGTTATTCGTGTTGTGAGGAGCCTTTCATATTGACTGGGGGTTTCTAAACCCATTTATCTCTGTCCTGAGGAAAAAAACCCAACATTTATTCCAGTATACTGCTCCTATTTGAAATTTTCAGTCTTGAAACATGAGGTTATAATATACTTCATAAAAGAGTAATAACCCCCAAACACTGCAGACACCTCTCTCAACCCTGAATTTCTTGTGCTTGGGATTTGGCAGATTAAAAAATTCCATGAGCTGTTTCTGCATAAAATACTCAATTTGTAAGTGCTTTCTGGCTGGTGAGCTGACTGAGATACAGATTGTAAGGAGCTCATAGGCACAATGACCCTGCCTCAGCCACCTGGCTCTCCGCAGCAGCTCCACTTTAATGCATGCAAACCTCTGACCTGTGTGCACAAGGGAAAATTCTTTTCCCTTCTCTGTGTTTTTACTCTGCTCAGTTCTTCATCTGACTCTCTGAAGGTTGAGGAATCTGTGTGGGGAAAAAATGATGTACGCATTGGTGAGATAGAAGTGTGATCACCTAAGATACGTTTTGTACTGAATGTCCCCTTTCACCCTCTTCGTATCTTAGCCACTGAATCATTCCTTTAGGTGGTAACACAGTCCCCAGAATATATCTATTCTAATCTCCTGGGGCTATAGGTGATAGGAAAGTCCCAAGTCTTCATGCTGGTGGTCCTGGCTTCCTGTGAATATCTTAGGATTTGCCAAGGTTGGAATAATGAAGCATAATCTTCATTGAATATCCTTCTCCAGCCAAGGTGATTTCTATCACAAAGAAGTTATCTTAGTCCATTAATAAACTCACAAAAAAAGATGTGAGTTATTGTTGTATTGTGTAAAATAATTAGTTTTGATGCTTATAGTAACTGTAGGTCATTTGAAACTCAGATCTGTTTCATACTAAGCTTATATTTATCTTCAAGTATGTATGTACTCCTTTGTAGAAAGAATGGAGGTACTAGGTTATTGATCCTAGTTAATTTTTAAGAAAAATCGGCTGGAATCAATTGCCTTAAAGAATATGAAAATTCCAGTTTACAGTATTTTAATAAGTAATGTTGAGTTGAATATTATATGTATGGTTCTTTCACTTATCTGGCTTTGAACTTGATATGCTTATGAGGTTTGTTCATTTCAAGAGATCCAGATCTCTTCATGACAGAATACCTTTATTACATAGGCAAATCATTGTATTTCCCACGGCTGATAGTTGAAATGGATTAGTGGCTAGAATGAAGTATGTAAAATGAATGGTCTCCAAAATTCATTTTTATTTACACCAACAGAAGAGTGTCTTCAAAGATCAAATGGAGCTGATGTTACAGAATCATGTATTTCCATTGTTCATGTCTAACCTGGGGTACCTCAGAGCTAGAGTAAGTTCACCAGTTATATCAATTTCAGTATTTACCGTGATGCTTTCCTTTGCAGTTTGACTTCATTCTGAATGTTAATGAAAGAAATAAAGCAACTACACAGTAAAATTTCAAATAACAACCTTGTACAGTAATTTTTCAGCATTTTGATTTAAAGAATGATTTGTCAGTTAAATAAATTGATGGAAAGTCTGTGTTTGTATTATTGTTTACCTCTTCAATCAGACTGGAGAATCTGAGCAGTGGTTGGGGTCCTTCTGTGACCATTTTTTGTTAGCAGATCTCAGTAACTAGAAGAATAGGTAGGATTTCCACAGGGTAGATAATGTCAGTTTCAGTGTAGCTGGAAGAAAATCCCTGAATGCCCATATCAGTCATAAACAAACAGTTAATTTTCTTTAATTTCTGTTCTGAATTTTTTACCCCAGAAGGACAAAAACTATGAATGCCAATTATGTACATACTGAATTTATAGGAATTTGGGAAAGGAAAATAAAGGACTGATTGAGTGCAAAAACTGTGTTACATTTACTGTATAAATACACTGTAATTAAGGAAAGAAAAAGCAATGCATGCAAACAGAGAGATAGCTAGCATTGTTTTTGAATCGGTAAAAAAATGCTAAAAATTGCAGTAGTCCCTAACTTGCTTTTCTTTTCGTCATACAGTCCTGTTGGGTACTTCATTCATTCAGTGCTTTGAAATTTCACAATGAGCTAAACTTGAGGAACGCAGTAGAGTTGGCAAAGAAGAGCCTGATTGATGATAAGGAAATGCCTGTCAAAGTAGAAGCGGCCATAGCTCTTCAGACGTTAATCAGCAACCAAGAGCAAGGTATGCTACAGAGATTCATCGGTTGTTATACACTGTTTTGGGTTTTTTGGGTTTTTTTTTGTGAAGATGAGGAGGTTGGTGCAGATTTATCTAAACATTTCTACCATTTAAAGACATAGATTTGAGAACATTTCATCATATTTAGATAGCTTTACTTGCTCATTAGTTACTGTATACATCCCAGAATTCTGACTTCAGGTTTTTACCCAAAAGAAGTTAGAATCAACATGTTTCTTTTAATGAACCAAATAGGACCCCTCTTTCTTTTTCTTTAGTGAAGGGAAATAGTGTGTACTGTTTAAGAATCAATGTGGTCTATGTATGGGGGCATGTATTCCCCCAAAACGGTGGATTTTTGTTGTAGGTGGTGTTTCAGTATTGAATGTGCTAAATGTACAATTTATTTACCTTGTTAGTCTACTAGTTATGGGCTGCAAAAGTGCCTTGCGTAGGTTTTTAGGGCTTGGGGTTTTTTTTAGTGAATTAAACTTTAAAAAATTATTTTTTTCAAGAGTAGTCAGTTACAGTATCTCAAAACTAATAGGTATTTGTGTTTGTGTTTATGGATAGTTGATTTCACCTAGTTTCAATTGTTTTTTTTAGCCAAGGAGTATGTAAAACCTTATGTGAGGCCAGTTATGCAAGAGCTCTTGCACATTGTTAGAGAGACGGAAAATGATGATCTTACTAATGTAATCCAGAAGATGATCTGTGAGTACAGTCAGGAAGTAGCTACTATCGCCGTTGACATGACTCAACACCTGGTAAGAGACAATAGTAAAATAAAAGTCCAGTCAGAAATGCTTGCCTAATTTGGTAAACTTTTAATGAACTGTTGGAAGTGCATGCTGTCTAAGTCACCTTTATAGAGGCCCACCTATAGTATTCACAGTATTTTTCTGTATGAAGCATCTTTAAAACATAGGTCTTTCAAAGATACTGAATTTTGTCACTGGTTTTGATGAGAGGAGCTCTAACTATTTAACATTTCAAATGACATAACGTAGCCAGACTTCCAAAAATAGAGGATTTTTTAATTTTCTATATTCCCCTTTCAAAAGTAAGGAGCATATTTTTCAGCACTGACAGCTCTTACAGATAAGGCATTGCTGCTGTTGCATTAGCTGTCTTGGTTTTGCATGGCGAATTGGAAATGTGAGTTTGGTCTTGAATGTCAAGTTAGTTGGGTTTTTTTCATAGGCTGAAATATTTGGTAAAGTACTTCAGAGTGAGGAATATGAGGAAGTAGAGGACAAAACGGTCATGGCCATGGGCATCTTGCACACAATTGACACCATCCTGACAGTTGTGGAAGATCACAAGGAGGTGAGATTTTTTTTATACATTTTTTTCTCCTACTGTTCCCTCATGCCTTTCATTCATGACAAGAAGCACTTCTTTGTACGTTGCATCACTTGAGTTGAGATGAATGTTCATTTACTATAGCACGATGGTGAATTAGTACTAAGTGATCTCTGACAAATTTTAATTTAAAACCCAGTTTACTTTTGTGATTTCTTAATCGTTTAGCTCTCAACTTTGAGGGGAGTTTATATCCTGAGGGTAAAATCCTTAGCCCTTATTCTGGTAAACAGTTGATTGGATAATCGTATTACAGACTGTTGAAACAGATTTTAGGGAGAAATACTTCGCATAAGGCTATTTTTTTTACAATGGTGACTCATATTTTATTGTTTATCCAGCAATTTTCTTGGACAGAATTCCTAGGAATTGGTCTCCCAGTTGTGGTGCAATGTTAAGTCTACATTTCACATATTCAGGGAAGAAAGAGATTCTTTCTGCTCCTACCACCTGGGCTGACTGAGGTACAAAGGAGTTCAGTGACTGACTGGAGAGGCAAAGTCAGTCAGTAACTTTAAGCTCAGTTGACATAAACGTGCTTTGTCCTAGATTGTTTTGCTTCCTTGATTTACAATGAGAATGTTTCATTGCAAGTGTGAAATCTTTTTATGAAGCTTATAATTTTAAAAATACATTAATTAAAATACTAATTATTTTCTTGCAAGACCATTGTGTTCCTTTGGATTTTGAAACTTCTTTTGTTCTTTACAAGAACCCCTTGCATCTCTTGAAAGCTAAAATGAAATCTGATAGCTAAGCTGAGCATCAGGAATGATAGTCTGAAGTGGATCTTCAGGTTTTAGCCTAGGAAAACCTTTGGGGTCGTGGTATTTTTGGTATAAACTTAGCGGCTTGTTTTTCTGTTGTGTGAAGCACAAACTAAAATATTGTGCAGAGTGCTCTGCATCTCAAGATCTTAAATAATTTTAGAAGTTATATAAACGATATAGAAATTATATATGAGGCTGAAAACTCCTTAGAAATTCCTTTCCCTTTCATCATTAAGTATGGAGAGAGTTTAGGGGATGATAACTTTTGAGTCAAGTGTTTGAAGGTAAGTGGATGAATCTGTGGTCACATCCATTTGCTAAAACAAGCCTGGAAAGCCTGGCATCCTGCAAGATTATGTCTGTAATGAATGATCTGTGGTAATAACATGAAATGTCTGTATTTGCTGGTTTTAATTAGACTTATAATGTGACCATATAGTTCTCCTTGTAATTTAGTTTAATTCATAAATGTCTCTCTGTCCAACATGGCAAGGCTGAATCCTGACTTCATCACAGTTGTATGCTCCCAATATGTGTTCCTCTTGCTGAGCCTACTCTGGGAAGCTCTCCATAGACCTTAGGCAAAAGCATCTTCTTCCTTCTAACCCATTCTACTTCAAAGATTTTGGACAGAGGCTTTATCTATCTCAAACGCTTTCAGTACAGTGTTACTGTATGTGCAGGCAGGATAACAGATAGAGTTTTTGATAGTTTTGATAGAATAACCACAAAATAAAGACAAATGCTGTGACAAGTTTTAAAGCAATACTGTTTATTGAAAATTTGAGTACTTACATCAGTTTCATAATCAACACAATTCATAATATTGTGATTGTCAATGCAACATTTAAAAAGTGATAAAAGCCTTTTTGCTTTGAAGAACTTCTTAAACTGAATTAGTCAAATACATTGATTAAATGACTGTATTTCTGAGTTTTTAAATAAACTGCTTTTCTGTTTTCAGATAACTCAACAGCTTGAGAGCATTTGTTTACAGATCATTGGCCTTGTTTTGCAGAAACACGTTATAGGTATGTTTTAGAGATAATTTTTAGAAAAACATTACATGGTTTTATGTAAAAAATTCTTAAATTAATTATTGCAAACAACGCTATCTTCCTCAACAGAACTTCATATTTTTTTGTGTGTGCTTCTTCAAAGAAAAAAAGACAATTTTCAGTTATGATTTGTTTCTCCTGATCTCCTGTTATACATTAGTGAGGCTGATTATTGTGTTTTGGAGGTCAGACTCAAAAGCAGAAGATGCAGTTCTGATTATAGCTCTACCTAGCTGCGTTAAAGGATGATGTCTACAACTACATGAGTATTTTATGGACATGGTCTGCAATTAAATTACTGCTTTATCAGTACTCTGCATTAAAGAACTACACAGTTTTGTGATAAGGCCTTTAAGAAAAAACAAAGGTTGAGAAAATAAAAATATTTTTCAGTAAATCGTTTAGAAGCAATGTCTTTGATGTGCTGGTAATATATTTTTCTGGTATGTATTTATAATGAAAAACTATGCATGTTGTTGTAACTGTAGCCAACATAAGGCCCCTCTAAAAGAATCTTTTCTAATATGTATTCTTTTTCTATGTATTGATTTAGCTACTAATTGCTGTCTTCTAGTTGTTATATGACTTGGGGCTTGGTTTCAGATTTCAAGGTATTTGCAAGCTAAATTTATTTTTTAAAGCACCCCACTTAAAATTGTTCCTTCTTTCCAGAGTTTTACGAAGAAATTCTTTCCTTGGCCTACAGCTTGACATGCCAGATGATTTCACCTCAAATGTGGCAGCTTTTAGGTGTTCTGTATGAGGTTTTCCAGCAGGATTGCTTTGAGTACTTTGCAGGTATGATCACTTCTATTCTACTGATGTTTCCGCTTTTTGGGAATTCGTCTCTAAAACCCACCTTAATAAGGATTGCTTCCATTTAGTGTCTTGGTTTAAAATGATCATGCATTTGAGTCATGCCCTGACCGTCTGTTTAGTGTGGGAGTATAACAGGAGCATATTTAAGAGAAGCGTGTTCAAATCTGTCAGTGTGATCAGTTATTGTAGGAGGTCCTGAACTCAAAGAAAGCTGAAATGTACAAAGTTAATGTGAAACTACAAATTAGTTAATTAAAATGTAGTCCTATTCTGTTTCCTCTTCTGAGAATACACCCTTCATGGTGCACTTTATGGAGAATTCTGCTGGAATAGACTTGCAGAGTTTGAATTTCCAACCATATCCAAGAATCTGAGCTAATGAAACCCATTATAGGACTACAACCTCACTGGTTAGCACTTGCATGGATTAGTTTGTAATTTTTTTCTCTTTTGCTCTCCCTGTTCTGCAGATATGATGCCTCTCTTGCATAATTATGTGACCATTGACACTGATACTTTACTGTCTAACCCAAAGCATTTAGAAATCATTTATGCGATGTGTAAAAAGGTAAGGCTTCTGATTCTTACTGTTGCTCTTATCACTGGTGCTTAATCAGATTAGCAGAGTGACCTGAACGTGCCAGCTGGTGGCCAGTCATTTCAGAACAAAATGAAATTTGGTCTCAGCTCAGTTCCGAGTACACATAGCACCTTCACGCTTTTTAAGTGACATACTTTTTAAAAAATTATATGCACAAATCTGTGTGGGAGAAAGTTGCTGTACGTCTTGACTCTCTTCTATGAACAGCTATTTTGGTAAGTAGAGGAATTAATGAAGTCTGATTTCCTTGGGTTGTTCTTGGGAATGGATTCTCTAGTTGTCAGCTAAGGCATGAACTCATTTGAAGTTGTTCTTACATTTATAATGTTTCTCTTTTTATGCTGATTCTTTCATGTATAATGAAGTATGACATCACGCTGCAGCCTTTCACTGATTTTTGGGCATTATAGAGTGTTAGGCATCTAGCTACCTGCTTATCTTTAAGAAACTTACAGAAATTGAATGTGTTTGAGAATTCTGCTTCTTTGTCAGGTTTGATTGACGCTCACCATAGGGTCGAAATGTACTGAGAAGCAGCAGTCAGTTTCATATGTATGTGCATATACATAGAGTGATTGCATATATCTTGTTTTTAATTAGAAAATAGCCTAGAGATAGGACTTCACTTTGCCAGGCTGTTAATCTGCCAGTGTCTATTAGAACTGAAGGCAAAAAACAGAAAGAGAATGTGGAAAACATCAATGATTCTTTATAAGTAGCATTTCCTTTAAAAAGGGGAAGGCAATGACATAAAAAAAATACTAACATTTGTGAAGAACTATAGCGATTGCCTCTAAATTTTTTAATTCATCTTTAGACACTTCTCCTTGTTTGTGTCCTGTAGAGGTGATTTTTTTTATGTATCTTACTTAATTCCCCACAAAATACAGCGTTAATAAATACGTATATGCCATGTAGTGGGTTTTTGCTATATGCAAGTACAGGAGCACAAGTTGTCAGTGATTAACACCGGTAAACTAAATCATCATTCTGGTTGTTAGGTACTAACAGGAGATGCAGGAGAAGATGCAGAGTGCCATGCAGCCAAACTCCTAGAAGTAATTGTTCTTCAATGCAAAGGACGGGGTATTGACCAGGTAGTATATATTGAACAGGTTTTTTCTTTTATTGGTTTCCAATGATATGTGTATGATTCCTGAGAAAAGCATTTGGAATTAGAGAATTTGAGGGAAATGTAAAGTGTAGGAATGGGGAGAAATACAGAAAGAAGTAAATGACCTCAGTAGAGTTTGTAACATTGGGGGGGGAGGGGGTGTTGTTGTTTTTTGTGTTTGTTTTTTTTTTTTTAAATTGGAGATTAGTGGGCATGACCAGAAAATGAACATAGACTGAACGATAAGGATATATAAGGATAAGATGTGCAGGACTGTCTTTTTTTTGCTTTCTCTTAATAGGATTTCCCTTTTGATGCAAAACACACATTGTTAAAACTATTGTTTTATTGGCTGGGAGGTTAACTGTACATATCCAGCTACTGAAGTTGTTTCTCCAAGCAATATGAACTTGGTCCTTTTTAATATTTTGAATCACTCAGTGCATTTGGAAATGAAGAATTTTTAGCATAATTGCTGGGAAAAACATAATCACAGTTTTCCAGAGTTTCTTAGAACACACTTTCAGATAGTAGTCTTTTTCCTATTAAGGGCTAAATTCTGGTCTCATGTTTTAGATAACACTCTAGCCTAAATTGCTTTAACATATCATATTTGATGTTGCCACAGTGCAATCCTTGGACTTCAGTGATAAATTTTCAGTTAATCTCACTGAAACCAATATAACTTTACCAATATAAATCTGAAGTCACTGAGGATAAAAATGTTCCCTGAAAGATTTTATTTTTAAAAGAAAACTGGAAGGGATTAAAGTGAATTGTATGCATTTGCATTGAAATAAGTATGAGGCTTAATTGAGCTCCACAACTCTGTGAATTAAAATGGTTGCACACTGAACTGGAACTCATAAACTAAAACATTCATAATGCTTTGCGAATTATTATAAAGCATAAACCTGCACATTGAAATATATGTAGATGTTTATGTGGTTGTGTAGAAATTTGTGCATGCTTGCTTTTATCTGAATAAACTCACTCATTTCAAAATTTTATAAGAAGTTTAACATTGCTTTACATTTATTAGGAAGAATTCCTTTTCTTTTTCTTGCAGATTTAGGAAATTTCATTTTTAATACCTGTTAGTTTTGAAATTGTTGGATATTGTTATTCAAAGATGAGAATGTCTGAGTTCTTTTCTAAACCTTTTATACATGCTGGAACAAATTCCACCAAATGGCCCCAAATATTCTCCTCTGTGCTGAGAATAACATTGGCAGTTTTTAGCTCAGACAATAGCTGTTTTGGGGAAGATTTATAAGCATGTAGTTAGAGGCTTGAAATGCTTTTATACTAGGAATTGAATAGAACGTGTTCCTAGGTTATACCTGGACTTCAGTTAACTCTGGAGATCAATTCTGATAAAAGTATTTTAAACTTTCGTATAATCTGGCAACATGTATAATGCCTGTTTTGGTTTGTCTTTTTTTTTTCTTTTCTTCTCCTTTATATGCTCAGTGTATTCCACTCTTTGTGGAGGCTGTTCTGGAGCGGTTAACTAGAGGAGTTAAAACAAGCGAGCTTCGTACCATGTGTCTTCAGGTTGCCATAGCTGCACTCTACTACAATCCTGACCTACTTCTGCACACCTTAGAGAACATCAGATTTCCACACAATCCTGAGCCCATCACCGCACAGTTTATAAACCAGTGGATGAATGACACAGACTGTTTTCTTGGGCAAGTACTGCATTTTTTTTCTTTTGAAAGTGTGTGGGTTTGATTTTTTTTTTTTTTTTTTTTTGTTCACTTCTGTTTGTATCCCTAGTCATGTTGACGAAAGTTCTCATTCCTTGATTAGTCTAAATACCAGTAATTCACAGAAGGTCTAATTGCTGTGGTGCCAGTAAAGGTGACCTATGTCCATGTATCTTTTCTGGGTCTGCTGAGCTACGTTGTTGAATTTTCTGTGTTGTGAAGATACAGGGGTACAATACATACCATATTTCAGAATTCTTTTAAGTTCCTTAATCACAGACTATCTGCTTCTCCAAGACATGGTCCAGCATGCATTGAGAGTAATATTGAGAGCTGACCAGCAGGATTTCAGTGAGATGTTAACTTTTTTTTTCTGAAACACTGTATACATATTTTCTGCTCTGTATTTTATAAAGTATTTTTAACTGCTCCATTTAATATTAAAAACATTAAACGTTTATTCTGTCCAATGAATCCCACACTCTGATTTTAATCCCTATGAGTTGTTCCTGGTCAACTTGCATATTTATCATTATGCTATTGACGCACTGACTGTTTAATGTACTCCTGAGCTTAAACTTCATTCCAACCTCCCTTGAACATGTGTGTACGCTGCAGTAGCGTACACTGCACTGGTGTGCACTTGGGCAGCAGCTGAACATTTGTAAAGTAAATGAAGGCGGACAAAGCCTGTCATCACATCGCTAAGCATGCCCTTGATGCTGGGTGGATGTGAAGTCCAGTGCTTGACGGTTAGTGCTTGCCTCTCAGCTGGGATGTGGTGTCTGACTGTGAGTTTCAAATCCACTTAAGGGCGAAGCAGACAGTCAGATGTAGTTAACAGCTACCTCTCACCTTCCTGCTGTGAGTTATGTGTTGTCATTGGAGGCTGACATCTGACTGCGGGTGTACGGATAGGCTTAGAAGGTGTCTTCTCTGTGCAGTCTGTGCCAGCAGACTAAGTGAAGTGTCAGCGTGTCAGGACTCATGCCATGAATGAGCATGGGCAGAGACAGGCAGCTCCTGACCCACAGATGCATACCTTATTTTAGGTTGCCATTCTTTTCCTTTTCCTGTTTTTTATTGGTACAGTCTCATCTTTCCAATTCTAAACAAGTCTCTAGGGGGCTTCTTATAAGATGGTTTCTCCACTCCCCAGTCATCTAAATAGCTTTTCTCCATACCAATTCTGATTTGAGTTAATCTTCCCTCAACAGAATTATATGCCATCTTGGTATAGCTGCATTATTGCTTCAGTGTCCATCTTGAATTTAGAACTGTGTGGTGCATTGCAGCACTACATTACTTTTTTCATAACTGTAATAAAATAGTGACTCCCAATCAATCAATAACCGACTGGTATATGCGGATTTTGCTCTCAGCATGTCCTTTGTAGTATTTTTAAAACACAGACCAAATGTACACAATAAAAAATTGTTTTCCTTCCTCCTCTGTCCTAAGTACACAGTTTAGTAGTATGAGGGTGAAAGCGCAGTAGTTCGTAGAATTGCAGCATAGACTTCCTTATTTCAGGCCTGCACATTAATTCTGTCTGTTTTACTAGAATGAAAACCACTTGGAGATACAAGAGAAATCGCCTGCTTTGGTGTGTACAGGCTTTGTGCAGATTCCCCATTCGTGTCTGTATTTGAAGGTATTACCATAGCAGTCTCTCCGTGAAGAAAAAAAATTAGAAGTACTAAAATAAATGAATAAAAAGTGGGGGAAAAAATCTCGTTCATTATAACAAAAACTAACAGTTCCTATTATTGCAAGCATTCTGACTTCTACCTGCTGTGTATATGAAATGTCTACAGCACATCCTGTATCTTAGCAGAACTACACATCTTATTAATTAGAGGGGTTACCTGGGTCGGTGACAAAGAAGGCATGAAGGACCGCATGTCCCTCATTTCTTTTGGAATGCCAGTGGCTGAAAAATGGCACTTTTAATTCTACCTCTATCATGCCTTGTGGTGATATTATTGTTAATTACTAAATTATTTTTATATCTTCTGACTTTAGAAAAGAGCAAGACACTTTAGGATTTCCATGTACGGATTTATTTTTTTTTTATGGCTGAAGCAAAGTTCTTGAGATTCAGCTCTTTGTGCTGTCATTTTTTGTACTGCATATCAAAAGCTGAACACATACAGAGACAGTAGGAAAGAAGATATTCCCTACAGGTGGTAAACTTGTCAGTCCTTTTTAAAAGAAATAAAAAATGAAAGAGATTTATAGCTTTAAACAGTTCATCCTGGAGCATTCAGTGAGAAACTAGTCAGATCCAGAGGAGAAAAATGCTGCAGACCTGACTAGGCTCCAACCTCAGGTACTCCTGTGAGCTACAGCTTAACTTTCAGTTCTTTTGTGTTGCTTTTCAAAAAGCATCAACTACTGCAACTACCGCTCAGCTAAATTCTTCCTCAGAGCTGAGACAAAAGTTGACAAAGCCTGTGAAAATGAAATATGGAGATGATGATGCTAGATTCTGCTCAGACTCTGCACTTGAATGGCAGCAGAAGATTAAAATGTATCTCTCTGATCTGCTGCTACCAGCAGTGAAATAAATATCTGTAACATTGCTTAAATCTAAAAATCACTCTTCCTTCAGTGCTGTCTCTGCAGTATGTGGCTTCCAGGTGTAAGGCTTTTGCTGTAGTACTGCTTGTCGGGCACTGTGATGTGGTGTAAGGGACTTCTGCCCTTTCCCTTGGGACAGCACTGCAGCTAGAAGACTGTATTTTAGTAAGGGTAGTAAAGGTCATCATCTGAACAGCAGCCAGATATTCAGAGGCCTAACTGAACAGGAAAAGGCAGAAATGCAAACAAAATCTGGCTTGCTTGAAACCCTTCCTTGGGTCCACCCCTGCAGGCTTCATGTCTTCATCAGTGAAGACAGCAGTGGGCATCTCATTTGTACAGTCCTTTTTCTCACCAGCCATCATTCACTGCTGCTTTGGTTTACAGTTAGATTGCTTTCCAGCAAGAGGCAGTTTTAGACTTAAATTCAAATCAGTTGGATGACTCACGGATCCTAGAGAAATTGGAGAAGGTCCAAGTAGGTTCACCTCCAGGTGTGAAGGACCTCCAGGTGTGAAGGACCAGGTGAATGCTACCGCCATTTCTTTGTCAGCCATGCAGGAAATCTGAGACTTACTGGTAACAGTGGCTCTTCAAGGTACTTTGTCCACATAAATCTCACACCCCTCTGTCCTGCTCTGCCAGCAGTAGGGTTGCGTGTGCCTGCACGCTCTCAGGCTGGAGCCAACAGTGTTTGCCAAAAGAATGTAGTATTCCTTGAGCCGCACTTGTGAATGCGTGAGATGGGATCCATGGGAGTAGTCATACATCTTGGGGGGGAAAAAGCAGTTACAGTAAGATAAGTAACTGTTCTTCCATGTTATCAAAAATATGGAAACTATTTAAAACTGATTAGAAATTTGGAATATGAAAAATGATCCAGGCAAGGAGAGCTCAGAACTCATTGTAAGACTGCATAAATCCAGTATGTCATTTGTGGGTGTGTGCCCATAATGCCCATGTACCACAGTATGTTGTATTTATTTATTTATAAATGTTTTCTACAATAACTTCAAATTGAAAAGCCATTTGTAGAAACATGTGTTCCTTAATGCTTTCTACCTTTTCCCTGACAGCTGAAATTTGGGTGGGACTTCTGCATGACTTATGCTTACTCTCATACTAAATATTCTTCTGTGGAAACTAGGGTGAAAGGAAAATCTAACTTGCTTCAAAAAAACCTCAATAAGTGGTTTTATTTTTTTAGAAGCTAAATAGGGGGAATTATTTGATAGGAGTTTAAATAATTAGAAAACCTAGTTTTCTCAGAGTTGTATATAAAATTCCAATGTTATATAGGAAAACAGGGTTGGTTCCAACTTTGCAACTAGAAGGAAATGGCTAACTATTTGCAGTTTGTCCAGGAACTGGATTGATGTAATAGAAAGCAACTTGATCCTCACATAAAGGAGCAGAGCAAACCGGTAAAAGAAAGGCTTAGTGATTTCCCTTTGAAATAGTTTCAGCTTGGCTTAAAATACAAAAGATCCCTAGATCTTTTTGTCCTGTATTGGAAGGAAGTATATTAGCAAGAAAAGATCCTGCAGATTATGAAGACCACACGCAGCTTGTTAAAAATAGACTTGCCTAGGAGTCCTGCATTGCACTGCCATGTGTTGCACGTTTAGCACTCCAGGCTTGATACACTATTGAGGGAGCAAGCAGAGTTTGTGATTGTTAGGGAGGACTATTGTGTCCTGCAGAGCAAATAAGTACGGATCTCGAAGCACAAAGCACTAAGGAGAATCGTATCCAGGCTCCCTTGTGCAGACGGAAGGGTGCTGAAATAATGAGCTCTTTGATAGCAAAGGAATCGTCCTGAAACCATTCTTTGCTATTACAAAAATATGTAAATTACATAAAATTCTGTTTTGCTTGTTCAGTCCTGTGGGTACTTGAGACAGCTGAGGCGTAGTAGAATGCTGAACTTCAGGCAAGGCAGATGCTTATCCTGCTGTTTGTCTCTGCTGGCAGGTGGAAGAAACAAGTCTTCTGGCTCAGGTTCGCTAAAGATGGCTTGATGCCTGGATTTCTGCTGTCCTGCTGGGCCTTCTAATAAATTGCATGTTCTGAAGACATGTTCATTCTTACAACTTCGCTGTTCAGAAGCTGCAAAATGGAGCATGACGAATATGCTGTATTTTTTGTCTGTTTGGGCTGCTTCCTAATGATGAGTCCCTTTTAAACAGCAATGCTTGGTTCTTGCACTTTCGTTTGCTGTCCAGAAAAGATACTTTACTATGAAGCTAAGCCACTAATTACTAAGATTTTTTTTGCGTTTTACTGTGTTGCATTTTGCAATTGGCGTTTTGTAATGGTAGCTTTTTCAAATGTGTTATAAAAGGTAGTACCAAGAGTCATTAACTACTCTGGCGTATGTACGCTGAAATTGCTTCATTATTCATATGGAGCTTGAAGAAATGTCATGACTTCCCAGTGTCAAGATGCAGGATGGAAGTCTTGTGCATAGATCACAGAGCTTTGCTCAAACTTGGATGAAGGTGCTGGCAGAGATAGGAAGTAGAGAAAGTTCTTCCCTTTTGTAGTTGCAGTAAGGACAACTCTCCCAAAAAAAGCTATGCTTCATTCATAGGTAGCGTCAGCTTTAGCTTGGATTTTGGTCTTCACAGTGTTGGCATAAGAGCAAATGGGATGATGAGCTTGTTTTCAACATAGGTGAACCGGCAGGAGTAAGGGATTTAATTTTTTTTTTGTGAAAGCAGATCCTGTTCCCCTGACTCAGTTTCTCTGGTTGGTTGTATGCCCTCTTTTGTGCCTCATTCCTTCTGAAAAGAAAGTATTGTGGTTAGCAGTGATGGAAGGACATTCTTTGCCTTCTTGCATTTTGGTACCTTTTTCAACACGTGTAATGGAGCAGCCAAACCCAACATGACAAATCATATAATTTGATATGCTAGCTGACTTTGTTTTTCTTGGAAGGTCTTCTGTGATCATAATGTTACGCATGGTCATATATAATTTATTCTTGTTGTCAACTACTCTGAGAATAGAATCACTTCACTAAGCCCTAACAGGACTGACAATGTGGGAGGTGTAATGAAATCCCTCCAGATCCCCAGCCTTGTTTAATCACATGTAAAGTTCAGAAAGCTGTAATACATCACTTGTATTACTTAAAGAATATTATAGTTCAGCAGCATGTTCTATGGGATCTTTGGTAATGAAATTGTAAGCACTTTAAAAATCGTATTCCTATAGAAAATTTTGAAGTGGTGGATTGAGCTGGCTTTTCCCCTTAACTTTATTGCAGTCTGTGGTGCACAACTTACTAGTTTCTTCTCCCTCAGCTTGTATCCTCTTCATTCCAAAGTAAAACTGATTCAGTAATGGAAGTATCTATCAAGAGTCTGGAGGATGGTCATTTTCTGCCAGCTCTGGAGATTTGCTTGTTTTCTGTGGGTCTTGCTGAAACTTCTTGCTGGAACTATTTGTCCTGCAGAAGGCTTGCACAGAAGCTGTCAGCATCAAATTGAATAGTTCAAACAAAACAAGCTCCTCTCAAGCCCTTGATAGCAAAATTCCATAATGTTAGAGAAGAGTTGAATACTACTGGCGTTTCCAGTAAAGGAACCGAAGAGTATCTGCAGAGGCAGTTAGAGAATTTTTCCCTGTCTTGTTTGCAAATAACTTCTATTTCTGGCAGTGAAAAATCAATTCTTATTTTTAAGACCATAGGCTCTTACCTAGTTTCCTGACTATGGTCACATAAAAATCTTTCTGCTGCTAATTTCATGATTTTCTTTCCCTTCAGTTATCTATAGTTTCTTGGTTTTACTGGAGGTCTACTCATTTTTGCAAGTTCCCTGTTTGAGTGTACTGCCAGTTATTCTTGATAGGGTGGAATTATTTCCCTGCTTTCACTGGAGTTAGCAATGTGTCTCAAGTTAGCGTTGGAAACTGGATGCGTAATACAGCCATTCTGACAGACTTTTAACAAACATGTTTAAATACAGCTAGCCCTGTGGCACTCCATAAATGCACCCTGCAATTCAGTGCATTCCTACTTATCATTACTCTTCACTAAGTCTTTTTGCTAATTTCAATCCCTGCAACAGTACTGCTATCAAAGCCAAGGCAAATTAATTTTCCATCCTATTTAATGATGATAATCTGTATCAAATGCTTTATTAAAGACAAGATATTCTACATAATTATTCAACAGTATTTATTTAGCATTACAAACTTTGCATTTGGTAATCAGAAACAGTTGTTCCAGGAATTGACCGGTGCTTGAAAGGTATTTAATTGTTATTTGACAAGTATTTTCCAGTGGGGAACTTGCATTCAGAACAAAGGAAATAATGTGTTTAGGAGCTTCGGACATAGACTGTGAACATAGTCTCTGTGACATTGTCTTCTGCTATGTCAAGCACCAGGACTTTAATGCTCTCTACATATCCTTGCAATGAAAATCTGGGTTTTTGTCTAACAAGTGTGTGTTGTTTCAGACTCCATGACAGAAAGATGTGTATAATAGGACTGAGCATCCTAATGGAATTGCAGAACCGACCGCCTGCAGTGGATGCTGTGGCTGCTCAGATTGTCCCTTCAATCCTCCTCCTCTTCCTGGGCTTAAAACAAGTTTGCGCCTCACGAGAACTCACAGAACATGAGGATCATGCTAAAGATGAAAAACACGTTGCAGAAGATAATGGTAAAATCTCCCCTTTTCACATTGTGGATTTTGTCTGGATTTAATTTAAAGGGGGTAAGAAATTGCAGTTCGTTTTTAAGACTCCTTCGTCTGCTGAAAATAGCTCAGCTTACTGGGTGCTTGAAAGATCATCTTAGGAATTGATTTTTCCTCCCAAAATGTAATCAAAATGTTTCAATGTATAACAGCTAACTCTTCGTGAAAGGGTAGTATTGGTTTAAGAGTAACAAAAAAACTTGCAAGTCCACTCTTCTGGGTTGTGAATGTGTTCCGTCTTCTCACATAGGCAGCAGGAGTTTGCCAGGACTGCACCCATTACATTCTTAATTCCTGGAAGCTGTTCCTGGTACCCAACTATTTGAAAGACCTATCTGGTTGAACTTTGAAGGAAATTCTAGCAGGTTGTCTTTGTCCAAATGGAAAGTGATTTGCAAAGTGGAGTTTGAGACAACTGAGGTTCCTGGAGTAGACAGACCTCTTACTGCTGTGTCTGCTAGAAGAGAAAAAACATCAAAGAATACCTCGTGGAGGGAATTGCGGGGAGTGAATTTTACACAGCACTGGAGGCAAATATGTGTGGCTGTATTTGACTTGGAACAGGAGATAGATGGTTTGAGGTCTGAAAATGAGATTGGATGTAAGAAGATTATGTAATCCACTCAAATTTCACGTGTGATTGTTCTGTAATGGAATTACAGAATTCTTCTCAATACATAGGAATACAGTATGGAAACAGCACAGTAATTTTCAAATCTCTGTCCTGTGATTGAGTCTGTGATTCAGTGTTTAGAATTCCATGTTGGGAGTTGCATTTAATTCAGGGAGTAATAGTTGTTTCATAAGTGAAATGGAAGGTAAAGCTAAGTGAAAGATGCTATTTTACATTTGTTCAAATAAAGGACCACTTTGAAGAATCGCAGGCAGACATTTGGTCTACATCTGGTTTTCTCTTTGTTTTGTGTCTATTTATGAAGTCCATGCAAGTCTCTATTTGCTTGTAATTTAAAAAGCACAGTGATGGAACACTTTGTCAAAGACACATTTCCTCAACATTTTTGGATCCTATAATTGCACAGTGACTGCATAAATGAAAGAAGAAAAAAGATGGCAGTTTCACATTCCCCAGGTGTGTTTAGAAGCAAAAGTTTAATTGATCTTGAATGTGGGAAACATTTTAACAGCTTCATTTTTCCATCACTTCAAAGATTTTGGGGGAAGGGTGTTACCAGAGGATGCCTTTTCCAGCCAAAACCTAGATTGATTAATTGTTCTGCATTCATACGTCATCGTTTCCTTATACTTTTTAAACTCTGTTTTACAAAACTTATCAATGCTTTTGCAGAAGAGATACCAAGTGATGAGGAGGAGACAAATGAAGTGAGTCAGGCGATGCAAGAGAACCATGGAGGAGGAGGAGGTGATGGTGGTGGAGGTGGAGATGAAGAGGATGAAGATGATGATGATGATGACTGGGATGAAGACGCATTGGAAGAGACTGCTCTTGAAGGGTTCAGCACACCTCTTGACCTTGAAAATGGTGTTGATGAATACCAGTTTTTTACACAAGCACTTTTAGGTATGTGTTTACTAGTCGGCAGCATGATATAGTATGATGAAATAGTTTGGAGATGTTTATGATCATCACTGCAAAAACCCCTTTTCTCGTTACAAGTAATAATTTAGATTATTGGAAAATGCAATCTTGATTTCTAATGTCTAAGATTTTTTGGCTTACAAGTACTGCAAAAAACGAATGGTAGCAAGTACAGGCAGAGATTAATTCTCTTCCTATTCTCTTTCAGAACTTTTCAATCAGCCTCAATAAGTGGGACTCGGTCACTAGAGGGACTCCTATATATAGAAATATGTCACTTTCGAGATGTTGAAATCATAATGGAGAAATTATTTTCTCCCTTTCCTGTTTGACTAATCCTGTTGCTTTTAGTTTTGATATGAGTATTAAAATAGAAGATTCACTTCATCATTGTCCGTGAATAATGGTCACACAGTTAACTTTCTGTTTCAGAAAGCAGAGTATGTAATTAAGTTTCCCAAAATGGACTGCCTCTATTACAGTGGGGATTCTATGCTAAGAAAACTGACAGGAATACTGAACCTGTTTTGCAGTGCAAATTCTGTTTTAAAACCAACTAGGGATTCTGTGTGTTTCATTCTGCTCTGAAATTAACTTGCAACATAACCTGATAATCACTTTTCATCTGTTCCTGTTCTGACAGCGGTGCAGAGCCGAGATGCAGCCTGGTACCATTCACTGACAGCACCATTGAGTGAGGATCAGAAGAAGCAGCTGCAGGAAATATATACATTAGCAGAACACCGGCGAAATGCTGCAGGTGAGTCACTTCTCTGGGGCCATTTTATCTGTTGCAGGGATGTTGGAACTGCATCTAATGTGGAACAACAGAGAGAATAAATCTAATTAACATTTCCTGAGAAGCGTGAGTAGGATATTGTGCTTATATTATCCCTTGCCTGGAAGTATGTGTTATTCAGAGAGATTACTGTTGCTTCTAAGTAATTGCCTTCTCATTGACGTGTGCTGCTGGTTGAACAGGGTATGAACTAGTTTTTCACGATCTGACATTTGAAATGAAGAGCAAATGAAGGCAGTATCTAGCTGTCAGCCAGGCATTCGATGATGATTACTATAGATTATTATTTATTTAACAGTTTTGTAACTTTTTAACTGCTAGCATTGCCTTCACAGTCAGTGTAAAGTTTTAGATGTTTAGAAAGTTTGCATCATGGAAAATAAATTCAGATTTAATCAAAAATCATGCAGAATAGCGTAACACAGACTGATTCTGTAGAGGATTAATTTCTCAGCTCTGTTGTAGAGGGGTGTGTGTGTTTATGCATTTAGAGAAAATCTGAGAGTCATTTATTACTGCCACTGCATTTAGGAAATGAAATTGCAACTCAACTTAAGAGTTTTCACAACTTTGCAGTCTTAGCTGAGCTGTACTGTCTCTGGCAAAAGCATTCTCTATAGACTATTCTTCATATCCTTTCCCTTCTTTGAATTCTAGAGACTAAGACTATAGAACAACAAAGTGGCTACACATTTGACAACAAAGGACTGATCACAGCATTTAACTTTGCTGGAAGTACTCCTGGTGGCAACTGAAGGATCAACTACAAAGGTCAATGGGAAGGGTCTCATCATTACATTTTCTTGAAATCATCGTGACTTCTGAGTGACAGGGGAGGGTAATTTAATGCTGCTGAAGGTTTTCTGGAAAATAGCAGTGTGCTTCCCCCACCAGAATGCTCTTTCTAACCAGCTACTGTAATGTACAAATTCTTGTGGTGTTTTTATAATTTGATGGACTGAAAGGAAACGTTTGTCCTCAAGGAACCTGAATAACTGGGAGGGGCCAGGCTGCATCTAATTGAGTTGCACTTCTCAGGTTTTTGCTGTGCAGAATTGATGATTCATATGGATAACAGTGCCTTCTGTTGTACATGGATTGCCTGAACAAATGGATTTTGGAGTGCATTATAGTTTTTTAAGTGTAAGGACATTTCTTGATACACTGTAAGCCTTGGTTCCATGTTTTCCAGAGTCACCTGCTTTTTACTACTTGGATTAATTGTTTGTTGGTTGCATACACGTTGCTGGATTCAGGCTATTATCTCATCTTCCCCATTTGGTGCAGACCAAATGTGTAGAGGGAGGTGCCTGTTGGAGTTGTAAAGCATACACTGGTTACGTCAAAGGGTTTCAACAAAATTGCAGATTTTCCCTTGATGCAGTAGTCTTAAATTATTTCTCTTAGCCATGAAATCAACTCGTTGAGTTATGGTGGCGTGCATGGCAGGTGGCTACCCTAAATCTGCGTTGATAATACTTCCTGCCTGGACAAGTGGTGTGGCCCTCACATGTAGATGTTCTACATGACAACTTTTTTATTTCCACTATTTTTGAGGAATATTGGATTTTACTTGGGATTCTATAAACGTCTTTCCTGGTTTTATTCATTCATTACCATTCCAGTGGTAGTACTGAATAATGTGGTACAAAATATTTACAATATTTTATTTATCTTGATAGAAGAAAAAGAGCTCCAAACTTATTTCTTCTTACTCTTACACTTCTGTGATTGAATTTCTGGTCTGCATTCCATTTGGCTGTTCTTGTCCCATGCCGAAATTTCATTATCTGCCAGATTTTTTCCTAAATTTCCAAGACTGGTTTCTCATAAATTGAAACATGTATAACAAGGTGTTTGTGAATATGCTCATTTAGTGAGAAAACTGATAGCAGTACTAATTTGAATAGGTGCCCCTCCTTTAGATCTATTGGCATCGCAGTGGTGTAGCCAAAATAAGTAGGGGTGCTTTCGAATGTGAAGCTTGGGTTGGAGATAAAATGTTTAGACCAGATTTTGTCTCTATGTGTTAATTTCTTTATGACTTAAAATATTTACTGAGCAATTTTAAGCACATACTGATAATGTATTTCTTCAGAGCAGTGCCCCAACTGAAAAGTTGAAGCTCTTCCCATACCCCATCAACTTTTCGATGACTGTAGTGAATTACAGATTGCTGGCCCTGCACTGTGCTGAAGCTTTCATTTTTTATATGTCAGAGTAATTATAATTCAGTCTGATAAATCTGAAGCGCTCGACGCCTTAGCTTCTGGAAAAGGCCAAAGTGGCTCTGCCTGTTCCTTGCCCCAGCCCCTGGAATTTTCTCAGCCTGGCAGCTGTGGGGCAGCTGCCTCTGCTTTCATTTTTTATGCATCTTTGTGTCAGACTCTGTCTCTGGTGCTGTTCGCTGCTGCTGCTTTCCCTCCCCGCCACCCCAACGCAGCTGCAGACTAAAGTTGGCCTGGTTCATGTAGGTTTTTCACTGCTGCTACTCACTTAATAGCAACAGTGAAAATTTCTCACTTTTAGGTTTGTTGTATGTATGGAAGACTGAGAATACCAGGGCCTGTATTTCCAAAAGGGAACAATACATTTAGCTGCATTAGACAGGCTTTTTAAGCTCAAGCAGCAGAGGACTGGGACATCCTTTATTTTGAACATCAGGCCATGAAAATTATAGGTCAGTTTTGCTAATTAAGGCCTGGGGCTGTATTGACTGAGATGGTAGGAAGGCATGACATCCAGTTTGTTGGTGAGTTTCTCAGAAAGCATAGAAGTTTTGAGATCCTTCATGAATTTAAGAAATGTTTTTTGGAAGTTAAGGCCATGGACCTCTTTTACCTGACAATTGAGGTTAAGTATTAGGCAGGTAAACTGTTTAAGCCCTGTATTATTTTATTTAAAAAAATGAGAATGTCAAGTTGGGTTTCTTTCAAAGCCTCTTTGCCTTCTCTACACTGGCATGCAGAGTAAGAAGAGGGATTTATTTCTCTTCTGCTAATGAGGTTGCTTGCACAGTCACAAGCTAATAGCTAGGAGTTAATGTGTTCAAGGAAAAATCTGCTTTTGCGTAGCATCATCTTTGTGTCACTCAGCTGAACTATGGCTGCTCCCTAGTTCTGCTTCTTGTATACTTTTCAAATCAACTGCCAAGAAAATTTCATCCAGATGTTTCTTACAAGGGGTTTAATCAGCAGCATGGAGTCGGGAATCTTTGTTGTCTGTTTTGCAGTGGGGGTTAGAGATGTCTGAGGGGATGGCATGTAAAAAGGTTAAATGCCCTTCCCTTCCCAGGAGATTCATGAGCAAATGTTTCTACTGGCAAAAGCAAATGTTAATTATTTTATTCCTTTTTTTGAAAAGGGTTTTCATCCAAAAAGATTTATTGGGCTCTAGCCTCCACTTTAGCATATGGTTCTCTTTTAACATGATAAATATCCGTTTGTACATGATCATAAATAGGTAATGGATTTTAGGGATTTCTTTCTGAGCTGTGTCCAGCTTTGTACTACATTAAAGGGAGAGTAACACAAATGTGCATTACTGTCTCACTTTGAAGCCAAGGTAACCATGGAATATCAGATACTGTCATCGGCCAACAAGCATGATGTATTTGCCATTGAAAGTACAGAGAATCATGAATGTATTGTAAAATAAAACAAAGGCAGATAACTGGTGACCTATGTTGCCTCATGCCCAAGTTCCCAAAGTGTGAAGGTGACTTGTATGGGCACCATGGGGGCTTTACATAGGAAATTAGCATTATGTAGGTTATAATCATAGTAAATGTTAACTTACATGATAAGCTGCTTTTTCAGGTAAAATTAACTGATCCTGGGTATTGAATTGCGTATGCTGTTTTGTCACTCTTGAAAGGAAAATAAGAATTGCCACATGTTTTGCCTGCTTCTCTTCGCTCTCTCTCTCTTTCAAAATTGAAGTACTTGGTTTGCTTTCATTACAAAGCAAAATCTTGAATCAAAATGGCCAGCTCCAGGAGCATGCAGAATATCAAGCTAAGGACAAAGCTGAAAAACCCCAAACCCCAACAGTCCCCCAAAACCCACATGTGCACAATCTGATTGAAATAAATGTGCTTTGGGAGTGTAAGTCAAAATATGTGAAGAATGTTACACAAAATGATATCGTGAGATTCTTTGCTTTAGGATGAAAGGCAGCCTGCGGGGTGTCAGGGAGACGTGAATGAACTGCTTTAGGACATGCCCTTTGCGTGTGAAGTCCAGGCAGTTTGTGACTCTGGATTCCATCATACATTGCAGAGGAGAGAAGGTAGGACGGTAGAGGATTTTTTTTTTTTTAATAAAGCAAGAGTCTTGTCTTGAGACTTCTGTGAGCCAAAGGAATTGTAGACAACATGAATGATTAAGTGTCTTCTGTTTCCAGAATACTTTTCAGCTTTTTTTCTTCCCTTCTTTCCTTCCTTTTGCCAATGACTATGTTATCAGATGTTTCAGGGAATATTCAAAATACCTGAAAAAGTAAAGCTTAAACATTTTTTTTTAAATCCTGTTGTTCTTGAAGCAATGCAACCTGTCCATTGCATTTCTATCTATAGAACAAAGTCTCTCATTTGACCTATGCAGATAATACAGAACTACAAAAACCCCTCACTTGTGCCTGAGGTTTGATTAACCTTTCTGTGATTTATTTCTTAATATGGGTACTTTGAAATCCTCACATCTTGTACTGAAATTTGCTCCAAGGATAGGCAAACACGCACTATGTAATGGAGTACCCAGTCCTAGTTCTGAGATATGCCCTAGTCAATCTTTTGATAATGTTTGACAGTCTGGTGGTCAGTTCCTCAAGGATCTGCATCTCCATTTGATGGCATTCTTCTAGTCCAAGAGATTCTGTATCTTTGCAGGTGGACAGAGAATCCTATTTCCTCATCACAGCAAAGCATACAGCAGGCATGGCTATCAACTTCTTGATCTTATGAGTGAAAATAGCACTCTTTTCTCTTGGGTGTCAAACCTAATCCCAAATGGATGGGATGCAGCAGAGATGGATGTTCCCGGCGCGTTAAAGGAAGCCAGACAGTATTCCAGATACCAGAAGGTCTTAACATAAAGCCATATCATAAAGAGGGTATGTGAACAGGCCAAGCTGCTTGCTTTTGACACCTCTTCCACTGCTACTGCTTTTGCAAAACCAACCAAACAAAACCAGTGTAAAATGAGAGAGAACTAAAGCACTGCTTGTGCACTAGGCAAGTAGAAACTTCCCTAGTCTGTGGATGCAATCCCAGTACTCACTGCAAATGCACTCAGATATTTTTCAAATAGAATATGCAACATCTGTGTGGATATTAGTACCCTGAATCTGACAGCCATTAATGAGAGGTAAAGTCTTAATGTGATTTTTGTCTGGCAGAAAACGGATGCATCCCTTTAAAAAGTCTGGGGCCCTCTTGTCCTGTCTGATGTGCAGTCACCAATGGGAGACACTCAGTGGGATTATGGCCTTTCTTAAAGATTGTAAGCATGCCTCCTACTAAAGGGCTACCTAAAGTGCTCCATGTCTAGCAAGCTAACTGATGAACCACTCCCCGACTACAGAGTTTTGGGGAACAGCAGTTCGGAGAGAATCTGCAGGCATATGTAATTGTGATGAATTGGGAAACCATCCATTTAAATTGAGGTGATGTGTTTGATATGATCTCAGATCTACAGTGTTCCTGATGTTGCCTGGATCTTTTAGAGGAGTGTCCAAGAACTGCATCCCATGCCTTTCTCCAGGAAGAGAATGTGCTTGGGCAGCCCCAAATTTGGTGCGATGCTTTGAACTTGGGATCAGAAAGCAGTTTTGGTTACAAGCTGGTAGTTGTCCATATCAGAAAAATGAGGTGAAAGTGGTATATTAATGCTAGGATTCTCTTTATAGGCTGTATAGAGATTCACAGTTTTAAGTGCTTGGCTATGTGCATGGTGGAGTGGATGAACTTTTTGATGTGTTGGTTTCTCCAACATGAATTCACCTGAGGTGAGTGTTGGTCAGGGGCTGCCTGCTGTGGACCATCCAGGATTACGTTAGATGAAGTGAAATGCAAAATCTGAAAAATCACTTGATAGTTGAAGCTGTTGAGCAATAAAAATGAGATTTTAATACTATGTTAAGATATGTGTTAATTTTCAGGTTGCTTGCCCTTATGCAAAATACAAAATTACTACATGATATGGAGGCCTATTGTTTTTTCACAGGACTATTTACCATTGAAGGTGTTTATCTGAGAATTGTCCCTCATTTTTAGATATTTTCAACATGTTTGTTAGTGAAGTTGCACATATCCCTCTTTCACTACTTGCCATGCACAGAGATCTTGGAAATTAACTTAAGAAAAGGAAGAAGAACAGTGCTTTGAGAAGAGAAGACTATGCCTAAGCAGGTTATTTTTAGAAAGCAGTAGAACTATGGCCTCTGAAGAAAATATGAAACAATAAATATTTATACAAAAGTGCATGAGGTAAAGCAATGAATATAAGACAATATAAGCAAGAGCCCATTCTTTGATCACAGCTGTAATGTGGGTTTTTTTCATTGCCAAACAATGTGTCAAAATTGCTTTTGATTGTATGTGCTATTGGTAGTATGCTGAACATAAATCATCTGAAATGTTTTGGGGCTCAAAAGGAAAGCAAAGAGGCTATGCAGATTTCTTTTGATAATAAAAGCAAAGACACGAGCCCATGCCTGCAGTGACTAGAGGAGGACCTCTGTGTGCTACATTTGCGGGTTGAATTGCAGGATCATCACCTTTGCGAGAAGCCTAAAATACTAAACTGTGGGTTAGTTTTGAGGGCAAGAACTGACAAATGCAAAACATGCATCGATGAAAAGCAGAACCTCTTCCTAGGTTAAAGAATTCTGTACAGTGTTCTCTTAAGCTGTGCTGAATTTGCTTTAAAAATAGTAATAAATCTTATTGCTTAGGTCGAATGTTACATCTGTTGTGCATTTATATGGGAGGAATAATATTTCTTAAAAAAATGTAACATGCCACCTACCAAGGAGCCCAATCTCTTTTTATAGCCTCTTTTTATACAGCCGTAAAACTTATTTGCAAGAACACCCCAGAATTAATTTTAAACAAATGTGTGTGTTATCCAGAGTTTAAATATGTGCATTTGTGTAGCAGCGTGTGTTTGTTAATCTCAGGCTTGTGAAGGCAACTATTCACACGCAGGCTTTGCCTGCGAAAGAACATAAGCGACGTTTGATGTCAGTGAGATCGTCATGGATCATCCAAATACAATTCTCAAAATATCAAACTAGTGAAGATGGTCATCTTGCAGTCCTGAGAGAGAGGGGATTGCACCAGCGCTTGGGCCAGTCCCCTCTGCCTGGAATTCATAAGGAAGACGATAGTTTCACCAAGCCTCCACAGGACGAGAGATTAATCCCGCTGAAACTGCAAGCCTGCTGTTTGTAGCAGTGGAGTACTTCCCTGGCGGTGAGTTGCTGCTGTAGCCTGTTTGCTGAGTTGCGCTGATTGATAACGCTTGCCCTCTTCTGTACGGGGCACTTTTGCGAATCCTCCACAGCATCTCCAAGAGCAGAGGTTACTGGCCCATTTTTATAACTGGGGAGGTTGAGTTAGTGCACTTTGCCCAAAGCCATAGCAGTGTGTTGCAGCTGGCATGAGGAACTAAAATTCTGGCTCTGTAGAAGCGCCTGGGAGTTTTGCCATTGGCTCTAATGGAGCCAGGATTTCACCCAAGAAATTTGCTAGGTCCTAGTGTTTGGATCACTGCTAATACCTTCCAGAGAAGCTTTGCCAGAACACACTTAACATATGAAATTGCTTAGTAACAGTGAGTTCCGCTGTTGAACTGCAATTTTAATCTGTCTAGCAGTGACATTGTTTAATTGTATCTCGTGTGGGTTGACTTAGGTATGACAAGATCTTCTGTAGAAAAATGGTTCTCAGCTAGGTGATGATTGACGCCCCGATTGTTAATTCCTCTTGAGGCTTTGAAGTGAGCCTGATGACGTGGGAGCAGAACTCCAGGTGACCCGCTGTATCACCTATACCATGTATCGGGGTGTTGGGAAGCTTACAGCCTCTCCGCAGGTATTAACAAACATGCTGGATTGGTTGTGAAGTTGTAGGTTGTGATTGCCGCTTTTAACGGGCTCTGAAGAGTATTTTTTTCTGAAGTAAATATATGGCTCCTGTGCCGCCTCCTGCCCTCTGACAGAGCGTCGATCTTCTTTTAGCTAGAATCGCATTCTTAAGCTGAATTCTAATTCCAAATATCTTAAAATGGTAATTTCTTTTGGTCGGTCCCCAGCAAGGGTGAAAGATGATCAGAATTTGCTTTCTCTTGTTACCAGGTATGTTAAATGAATAATATAAATAATTTAATTACCTCTTTGATTAAATCACTGAGACTTCAACCAATCCCATGCAGTTTCCTACTGATTTTATGTTTATTTTCTGGCAGAGCTCAAGCTTCATGGATTTGTGTGCACATCAGGAAAACTCTCCGTAGTCATATAAATGAGATTCAGTGTAAAACACAGAGTCTGGAAAGGTCATACGAGTATGTGAATAATGGATGTTTTCTTTTTTATTAAAGATATTGGCCTTCTATCTCTCAGCACCTTGTAGAGCAGAGAATGCAACTGCAACAAATAAGGGTGCCTTAAGCAGCTTCCAAGTCTCCCTACTCTATTAAATATAAATAATCCATACTGTCCTTTTTAGCACAGCATGCCTTGCCTTGCAGCTGGCTGCCTCGGCAGGTTGTTGTGCAGAGCGCAATAACGGAGCCAAACGGCTGCACCTTGGTGTAGGGATTTGACCACAGCTGTGGGGCTGGCACTCGGACCTGGGCAGCACTTGTGGCTGCGCTCTGGAAGAGCTACGTCTGCATGGAGAAAGCATACCCTGCGTCGCGTTTTCCTCCTGCCCTAAGTGTCTTTCTGGAGGATGCAGGGGGTTAAGCAAAACCGCGAGAGTAATCAGAGAACGCTGCAGTGCATTTGACGGTGCCCTGAACAGAACCAGCTATCACCATCCATTCCTATGTATAGACCACTCAGAAATGTGTCAGCCTGAAGTGAGATTAAACAGATACTCGGAGTCTAGTTCCTCAGTACAACAAGGTGTTGAATTCTGCCAAACAAGAATCTGCTCGGTTCGGGTGAGCAGCATGATTAGCTCAATTTGTATTCTTGTTTTGAAGAAAGACTGATGGAATCTGTCTGCATAATTGTTTAGGGAAAAAGCCCAACCTGGCCAAGAGAGATTCCAGGCACAAGAAGTCCCCCGAGCATTGATTTCACTGGAAGAGCAAGCATGGAAATTGCTCCAAGGAAGAGTTCCTACTCCTGATGTTCAGTTACAGAATATTTTTCCCTTTATGTTGTTAATCAAACAGTTTACTGATCTCGTGAAGGTAGGACTAAGGTAAGGAGGTTGCTAATGGTTTCCCATTGTGTTCCTCTGATCCGTACATATGGCTGGTTTCAGAACCCAGAGCCGTCTGAGCCACCAGGCTGGAGGATCCAAAGGACTTTCCTGGCTGCCAAAGGTCGTTCTGTCAAGAGGGGAGAATTCTGCCCAGTCTCAGGCTGCCTCAGTTCTTGTGGTGGCTTCTTCCCAACTGTTGCAAAGATGCATTTGATTATTTAATGCGATTTTCTATTACTTAGTGATTGATATTCTTCTAATAAAATACACATACTGAAAAACCACTGCCACTGCCTGGCTGAAGCGGCAGCTGTCTGTGGCTGCAGATCGTGCCTGGCTGCCTGTCACGGAAGGGCGGGGGGGGAGGCTTGTGTTGGTCTCCCATCTGCTCCGATTCGGCTTTCTTACCCTTGCGCTTTGCTGTCTGTTCTGCAGCTTTAGGATGCAGTGGTCTTACGGGACATCAGGATCTTGCCTTAGATCTTCAGCTTCTGCTTTTGGTAAACAAAGAAATACTCTCCTTTAATCATGATTCTGGATTCCTCTGTCTTCCTCCTCTTGCATGTGCACCTCTTGGGGATGGGGGTGTGTGTGTGTGTATGTGGTTGTGATCTGCTGAATTAGGAAGAACTGCAGAGTGATGCCAGACTTTTCTGTTGATAGATATTCCCACAAAGCATGGATAAGTAATCGTGAGATTCTCTTGCTATTCTGTTTCTTTCCTTAGATACAGTATTGTGTAAAATGTTTTCAAACAGATTTTGAGGATTTTTTTTTTCAGCGTTTCAAGGCCCAGTTACTGAATCAGGGCCCAGATCCTCACTGAATGAAATTCTGTAACTGTAGAGCAGGTTGGGGAAGGTACAGAAAACATGAGGCAACAAATCCAAGTTTAACTCTGACAAGAAAAAGAGAGTATTGCTTTGTTTATAAACTAAATACTCAGTTTATAGCTTCATATTCTTGCTCTGTTCATGATTTGAGGGGGGGGGGAGATTTAATTTTCTTTTACTTTTAATTTGGGGATGGAGTTGTAGTTGACTTTTGACTCCAGATTTTACTTAATTACAGTATTGCTGCAGGAAAAAAAAAGCACCAGCTACGTAAGCATAATGTCAAAGCACATGTGCTAGTTTATTTTGTTGCCATCTTTGTGGCTTTCATCCAAGGTCACTTGTGTTATGTGATGCCTGAGTCCAAGATTTATTCTACTGCAGGAAATTGCCTAACAGGACACTAACAGTTCATAACCTAATGGATTTCCAAAGCCATATTAAAACACTGGGAACCATTTCATCCTTTCCTGAATGATTTCTGTTTTGCAATATAATTTTGTACAATATAATTTTCTTACTGTTTATTATAATATCCCATTTTGCATTGAAGAAAAATGGGGGGGAAATTACCAACTGTGGCTGTGACCTCTAAAGGCACACAGGTGAGCTCTAGTATGGGTAGTGCTAATGGGGACATAAGGAAAAAAATAAGCACACCACCTGATTCTAGGCACCTAATTTAGGTGAGGAGATGTATCTTGTCAAGCTTTTGTAGGAGAGTGGGGGGCAGCCAGGGTTGTGCTTCTAAGCTGTAGGATGCTCTAAATCATCCTCTGGCAAAGACTGCTTCCTTCTCTTTCCTGAAGGGAACCCAGGGAAATGAACCATCCAGGCTGGGTGGGTAATCCTGCTAATGTGAGTACATCCCTGTTGGTTTATTTGGAGGGGAAAGAGAAACACTCAGGAGGATTATAACCAACAGTAATTAGAGAAGAAAAGCCTCCACTTCTTGTTTGCTGATTGTGTGCAAGTGTATAGTCAGTTTTGCTGATGCTTGTACCTAAGAGAGATTCTGAAACATGGGAGTAATTTGATGCATGTGCTTTGTCTTGCCACAGTAAATTACAGCCTTTCCTCACCCAGGAACTGAGCTATAGCTGCTTTTTCTGTTTTACAGTGTTTTACATTGCCTTAATTGCACCATCTATCGTGACATTGCTGGTTCTTTTTGGTTTTGTCTTGTACTGTGAATGCTCCAACCCAAGTAAATGTATGCAGCATACAGGAAACTTGTCAGGCTGCATTCAGGTCAGCAGTTCATCAGTGGCTGTCGTGAAAGATAGTCTATGAGCGTCAAAGTTGTAGAACCTTGAAAAAAGGCAGTCAGCAGGGCCAGCTTGGAAATCTGATGCACAGAAGCACGTAAAGGAGGGTAAGGTTCTGATTACGGGTTACTGAATGTGGCGAGCCCCTGGGTGTGTGGTGACTGTTAGCCTATCCTTGAGAATTGGGGGAAAACCCTAAAGAAGGGAAACATGTAACCCATGGGTGTGCATATGTTACAGAGCTGGATTTTCTGTCCATTTTTATTACTGTCTCTGCTTGAAAACCTGGAGCCACTGAATAGTTCAGGTTGGAACCTTAGGAGGGTTCCAGTCAACCAGCTGCCCAAAACGGGGTCAGCTCAGAGATCAGACAAGGTTGCTCAGGATTTTATCCTGTTGGTCTTGCTGTGCTTTCTAGAAGATGGGCAGGGGGAATTCAGGGGTCGCAGAGGCAGAGTAGCTTGGCTGGGCTGTGTGGGCAGAGAGGATTAGAAGGGCAGGTGTTTGACTTGCTCAAAATGTGATAATGGCAATAATCTCGAATGAAGTGGCTCTGCTTCAGACAGTCAGAGGATAATTAGACTTTGAATTCGAAAGGAAATGAGCAGAAAAAGCAGCAAGCATTAGGCATGAGTGCCACTACTGTGGAATTTTTAACCCTGGAAACTATAGCTCGCTTGAAGTAGCGTTAGCTTCAATTGCAAGGGTATGTCACTTCCTCAGAGCAGTCCAAAAGCTGAAGCGTGATCTATAGAGTCCTGTGTTATCATGAATATAACAGGTATAAAGTCTGTAGCATGAACTGTAGAGTTCTGTGGGAGGGGAAGGTATAAAAGGAGAACCTACATGAGAAATTGGTGTCTATTTGGATTGCAAAATGTCAGCAGGTGCCTGGTAGGTTCTGCTTGCTAAGGGAAGCAGGTGGCTCGTTATTCACAGGAGAAGGAGGAGTATCTCGCTGACAAAGGACCCAAGCGTGGGAGAACCAGATGAATGGAGGGATCTCTGGAAGTTTCAAGGAGGTGGGTTGTGACCCCCATGTCCTTAACCTTTTCCAAGATGACAAAGTGTATTGGTGAAGGACAAAAGGCTAGATGGGGAAATACTGGCTTCTGAAGATTGAGAAAGGCCCCTGTGGTCGTTTACTTGGTGTTACTGCAGGGGAAAGTGGAGGCACGTTCCTGACCCTGAAACTATTTGCTCAACCCTAGTGTAGAGATGCAAAGCCAGCCCAACCGTGCCTGCCAGTCTCGAGCTTTGCCCATCAAGCTTTAGCTTCTTTGCAGCGGTCCATTGGTGTGGGGTGCGGATGTATTGCCTCTTCGTGGATGTACTGGAAAGCCAGACAGGAACAACCGGGCTGTGGGAAGGCCTGGATAAACAGCGTGGCAGTGAGGCACAGGTACGCACAAGTTTAGGGCGATGATATGGAGCTATTAGTACAGTTCCAGAGCCCATGTTTTCTCCTTCATGGCAGTTTAAGACGTCATCTTTAACTCTCCTGGATTCCTACCAACATTTTGTTGGGGGAGAAGTTTTTCCTCTGGTCCCAAACCCAGGTCCCTGCCGTGTTCTGGTGCACCTCTGCCACAGAACACCCGCGCTCCGCGGCGCCGCCTCCTCTTCACCTGGGTGCTCGGCCTGCGGCTGCTCTCCAGGGGACATGTGGGGGGGGTACCGCGTGCCGGTGCCCGTGGGTGCCGGTGGCCATGCCTGTGGGTGCCGGGACATGTGTGGGCGGTGGTGCCACTGTCCGTGGTGCTGAGCACCACTGGGCCACCTGGCCAGCGAGGTGCCAAGGCGGAGAAGTGCCCCGGCTGCCCCTCCCGCCCCTGCTCGGCTCCTGTGGCTGGGCAGGAGTCACAGGCCTCTCCTGTTGGCTTCCTGCTTCTTCCTAAAAAGGTTGGCTGCTCTGTAATCTTGCTGTCTGTAGTCTCTCCATGTCGGTTCTCAAGCAGTGTGTGGCTTCGTGGCCCGCTGGAACCCAGAGATTTTCACCGTGGAAGATAACTCTGAATATCTCCAGCCAGGGCCACCCTTCCTATTTCCTTGCAGAAAGCTGCTATTACTGAAATAACTATCCGCTAAGCTGAGCACAGTGGGGGGGCTCTCGGGAAGATCATTCTTCTGAAAATGGCTGTGCTACACCGAAGCTGTGAGCAACTCTGCTCGTACCATCCCAGCACATTACCTGACAGATCTGCAAAGCCTGAATCCTTAAAATCCTGACTGAAGTGATAGAGCTGTATGCTCTTGATTACAATACTTGATCGCCTAGAACTGCTTGCAGTAGCTAAAAATATCTGATATATTCAAACTATCAACGACACATCCAGCATATAATACTGGATGCCACCCACTGGCTTGAAATGTTTTTTTCACCGTGTGCCTGACTTGCTACAGGAGCCAGAAGGCAGGGAGAAAGACAGTCAGGGGTGACATTGAAAGAAAGAGGCTCCCATATTACTTTTCTGACTACTCGGATCAGTTTGTCGTTCAGAATTTTGTAGTATTAAAAGCTCTTTACAAAGTGTGATTATTTAAATTGGTGCAATCTCTCTGCTGGTGTTGGAGAGCTGCTTCAAGTCCAGCATTTCCTAGGAAAGCTGATAGCAAAAGACATTTCTATAGATTTTTGTTACATACCTCTGACACTGTGGTTTGGTCTACAGCAGCCTTTGGGTCCATGAACAGATCATATTGGGCTCAGCTGTACCATTCTGTGGATGACTAGCATTTAAAGATTTAACATTGTTAGAATAAAGATAGATTTATTTTTCACTTTGACATGTTCATGGGTTCCTTCTGACAGACTATGTATGCCAGTCAGGCTCACCATCACCTTGATTCCCTAAGCCAACTGAGCATCCAAGGAAGGAGTGGTTGAGAGGAGATGATCCTAGACCTTTGCACACATGATTTCTGATGCTGTAACCTCTATTAAGCATCCCTTTCGGCAGTTTTCAGAAAAGCCCTTGTTAGGAGTCTAGGACACTTTTTCCTCCTGCTCCTATTTATATTTTGCATTTGGCCCCATTTCTATTTATTTCCAGGAATGACAGAATGCCTTTATTCAGAGTGACAAATCTTCGTTGTAAGATTCAGAAAGTTGCTTTGCAGCTCTTGGTGTACAAGAGCTTTACTTCTGTATGTGTTGTTCCCTTCACTTGCAGGAAGG